TAACCTTTCTCTCTCTCTCTCCACACCTAACTATATTACTTTGCAATACATTAACTCTATCCTATTCTATCGTTTTGTGTGATGATTGTCCTCAATATGTCATCCTAGTTATGAATACTGTATCGCTGTGTATTATATCAATTAAACTTATGTAATATGAAAAGAATAGTTGTTGAAGATATACTTTACCAAAGAAACATGCGTAAAAGTTCATACTGCCAAGAATATGTGAAAACGAATGGTGTATCTTACTAGTGTAGACACACTTAGGATTTGACTATTGATTAATTCACAGAGCATTCACTAGGCTTTAAGTAGCTGGATAGGTATTGGCTTGTTCCACTGCAAAGTGTCATCCAGTATAATTAAGGTGGAACTATCCAATAAAACAAACCATGGTGGGATAAGTCATTTTAAATAAACAATTTTCTATGCTTTACACGAGTAGTGTTTGTCCTAAATATTTATCCGTGCCGAATTTAATTTATTATCTAATCCCAGGTTTATTGCAATTGACAAAAATAACTTATGAGTTGATCGCGGATTGATATCAGTTAGAGAGTTAGGGAGTATTGGACAGATGTTTCATCCTAGTTTGGGAATCACCGGCAGTGCGCACCCACCACCAGGGTTCGAACCCAGGACCCTCTGGTTACAAGGCAAACTCTTATACCATTCAGCCAATAGGACTCGATTCAATGGCCAGCCCATGAATTCTAACTTCTACCAATTCGTGATTTAGTGGAACCCCAACCAATGTCGTCGTTGGGACATCTATCGTCACACTTGACTGGATAGACCTCACTGGTCACGACTTCTCACTCGAATTCAAGGAAACTCCTGATTCGAGTCCCAGATTTTAAAGTGTTGCTGACTCCAGTTGGATACAGAGAACTTATGTATTCAAGTGCTCACACTAACACCTGTCCGCATGTACTTAGATGGTGAGTGGAAGAAATTTGGTGGTTTCGGTGTAGTTATGTTCTCTGAGCTATTTTTTTCCTTCACGTTCCCCAGTGGAACGTAGGGCTTCAAGTTTTTGTAGCAGTGTTCATTTTTATAGGATGGGGTTGCTAGCCTCATGTCCAACCTTTCCTCTTCACCAGCATTATTTCTGGCTTAGCGAGGTAAAGGAGTGCGTCGGTGGCCGGGGATCGAACCCCGGCCCATGTGCATGGTCAGCGAGCGTCCTAACCGCTATGCCACCGACGCACACTCTGAGCTATGAATCTTCTCTATTATATCTAAATACGGTGTCAGGTAAAATGTAATACTGAATTATATTCTATAGTATCAACTAACTGGTAATTGTAGTGGAGTATAGGAGTAGGTTGAAAAAAAGTTAAGGCTGATCAAATCAACCCATGAAGCCTCTGACTATTAGTTTGAGCCGCGTCGGAAGGTGTAGAGCTCCTGACTGACTGGGATCTATAAGACCATCGGAAGCAACGGCTGGAGACTGTCGGTAACATGGCTAAAAGTTGTTTTCAATGACGCTGACCCATTCACTCTTTACAAACTCCTAGATCCATTGAATTCCTCGTGTAATTATTCCCTCTCTCATACATTTCTGTTCCTTATTGTCCCTTTGATTTCAGCCCCCCCCCTACCTTCATGCCCTATATAACGGGTAGGAACTTGAAATGATGCATTTATCTGTGTAAAGTTCTACGCTGAAAACTTCTTTAGACACAATCTCCCTAACTACTCACTAATGCCAAATTTAACTCATTATCTACTCTCAAATTTATTTCTATTGATAAAAATAACTGACGTATTCAAGTACTCATGTGCTAACACCTATTTCTACACAGACATAATTAGACTTTGAGTGAAAGAATGACTGTGTTGGATGTTATGCAACACTGGATTTTATTGTGTAACAGCGTCTTACTGGTTGTTGTTACAAAGAAATATTTCTATGTATAGATTAACACGCCTATGACATGTGAATATATTTATAAATATAACTGAAACTAACTGCTTCTACAAAATAATTATGTTTTGGTATACGGGCAAGAAAAACGATGGAATGCCTGAGTGAAAAGTATCTTTTTCTAAGCACGTATCACATAAAAATTAATGTACACATATAGAGTAGTATTTTAAACTTAACAGGTTACCCTAGCGAAATACTTTTTAACTAAGATGAATAAAAAGGAATAGTTAAAATTAAAGTGCTAAAGGATCCGTGTATGTGCGTGTGTGTTAATTTCAACGATATTAATTGACATTACAACACGCCTATTGTTGTTAGTTCAATAAGCCTAGTGTGAAACGTGATGTATCCAATTCGGCTACTTTTGTAGATTTTACAGTTGAAGTATACCTTTCTACACTGAGTTCAGTACAGCTTCTATTAAGTAGACCACATTTTATATCCTTTGAGGTTATCACTTTATTTTGCTTCCTCTTCCTATATCTTACAGTACTCTAAAAATCTTTGCTTATATTATTCCCATTTCAATATTACTTCCTTTGGAGCGTGCTTCAACCCAAGCACCCAAAGGCAGAGAGCGACAGTGAGGAGGAGTACCTATGGCGCTTGCAAGAATTGACCGCCTTAGCTTTAGACGGTAACAAACTAGAACTGATCAACCTTCTTATTGTACTCCAGTTTGAATAAGGTCTATTATTTGATAAAATGAAACAAGCAGGTTGTAGAAGGAAAGCCAAATTCTCCAGAAGAGGCATTAAAAATTGTTTAAGAGAAAGAGTTTCTCTTGATGTTGCAAAAAAAGCGACCGGGAGATGGATTGGATATGAGCTGTGTCTAACTAATTACAATAAATCCAAAACATCCCATCAATACAGAGGAAACATTTGCATGTGAAGAAAATAGGGCAGATGACAACATCGTAGACCTTTTAACAACTCCAGATACCCTCCAAAGCAACCATGGCAGATGGCGAGCCGTGGAATCTCGCTTAGATCAAGACCTATCGACAGCCGACTCCCCTCTGAAGAAGAATCATTTGATTCAGAAGATACAAAATACTTATCAAGACAGCAATCTTTAAGCATATGCCTCCCAGAGATAGCTATGTGCCCCCAAAACAGAATTAGTACAAGCCATTGCAATAGGACATGGCGAGCTCACCATTTATTATCCTCTCCACTTGATGTGTAGATATAAGCTGTGGCAAATTGGCCTACTATGCAAGAATGCTGAGTTGTAGTATATTGTCCTTCTTTCTGTCTTAAATATCAGGTGCAACTTGTCCACAAAACTGAATTCCGTAATGAATTCTAAGTAGATCCTGTAAACTCAATCATCACAACTATTAAACAAACTATGCGACAAAGAATAAACAGTTCTCAAACGGAGAATCGAACCTCTACGATAAACATCAGTATTCAGGATCTATATGTTTTCTACATCGCAGTTAATCCTCAAATTATACCAATTACCAATTCGTGTCCATAGCGACAATGATATCCTGATGTTCATTCGAATCTCAGATCTTCGAGTGTTGCTGACTCCAGATGGACTCACAGAACCAACACTGCTTTAGTGAAACTGTGACAGAATTATAGTCAATGGAAATTTTTTAAATCTTTGTGCCTACAGTCCTATAAAAAGTCATCTTTTCCAAGATATTCTTTTTATCGGGTATAAATAACCGTTAGATACTGCTAAGCGGCGATACATCTTGTTTCCTAACGTAACGTACCACATCTTGTGCACATAAAAAAACATCATGAAGACACGGCTCGTTGGCTTAAGCACTCGGATTTGAGTCAGTGGCTCTCTGGTTCAAGTCCCACTCCGCCTGCTTCAGCCTGGGCAACTGTGTAGTATCACCAGTCTTCACATAGCAAGTGTGGCTGGCTCATAGCCGACCGAATACATAAAATATGTGTGTTTCGAGTAACTGAATTCAAACTAAACTACTAAACTCGTTTATACTTCAGTCGATTTCACTTCAAACTGCGATACTTGCCAATTCGAATGGCTCTTGACACATCAGTCATTTGAGAAGAATCTGTAGGGATCCATTGATTCTTACTAAACTCAGACTGAACCCCACTGCTATTTTCACACAACGCTAGATACACGATAGTAGACTACTCTGGAATAAGAATCAATGTGAGATTTTAATAAATAACTATTTACCTCCTTCTTAAATACTAATTTGCTCTTTTAACTTTTACGTTTGATGCAAGGAAAATTTTCAATTGCATATTTCTTAAGTTTATTCAGGCAGGTATAGCCATGCATGCAATGGTTTAGAATCTCATGCTTACCCTTTGGATTTCATAATACTCTAACATAATCACTTCTTCATTTCTACCAATCATATTAATGATTTTTGAAATGACCATTAGTAAAGTGAAATACTTCGTGCGTCGGTCTCCTGGTAGAATACTGGTCAACCACGCACGTCATCCGGGTTCGATTCTCGGTTGATGCACTCCTAAACCTCACCTAACTGACAGTTGACCTAGTAGAGGAGGAAGGCTGGGTGTGGGGCTGACAACCCCAAGCCGTAAAAAATCACCAGTGCCACTAAAGCTTCAAAGGCCAAGCTTGAAGCTCTATGCTCCAAGTTAGTAAGGTATGTCGGAAACCTTTAGGAAATGTATTAACACTGAGCTTAATCAAACAGTAAAATATTAAGGTACAATAGTGACAATATTACAGACTTTATCTACAGAGTCTGATTAGTAATTAGTTCACTGCAGTTGAATTGACAACCATCTAATCACTAGGAACGATTGGCTATTAGATGCCTAACCGAATTTCGCTTTTATTACTTTGCATTCCGAGTGGGACATAGGGTTTCAAGCTACGACTTTTAAAATTCGGTAGCAGTGGTTGAACTTTTTACGAGATCGGGTTGCTAGCCTCACGTCCAAAGTTTCCTTTTTACCAGGCTTACTACCAGCTAAACGAGGTTTTGGAGTGCGTTAGCCGAGGCAGGCATTCTACCAAAGAACCACCAACGCATGCTGATCGATTTTCCAGTACAACAAAAGCATACATGTTATATACTTACGAACGAAGTCTCTGGAGGTAGGAATTCGGAACAACATTCACGTGTATTTCATCATTTGCATCAGGTGGATTGAGATAAACCTTGTTCGAATTGTTATCCGATGGAATTGAACAACCGGGACATGCTGAACTACCACCACCAAATGAATTATCCTTATGCATTGTTGAATTATATGGTAGAGGACATCGATTGTTACACGCTGCGCGTAGAAGTAAATTATGTCTTAAAGCCTATGAATAAAAAATAAATGAAGAAACAGGATGACAATCCATGTGTAGGACAGATAACATAGTTGTAATTAAAAAACAGAAAATACTAGGGACACTATCATTTAAGCATTTGACATGAAGAAAATAAAAGACAAATTATGGATGAAAAATTTCAGCTTTGATGACGACCTCACTTGATTTCGCAGCATCACTGAGTACCAGAAAGTATTGGAAAGCAGTTACATCTCGTAACCTGAAGATTCCGGGTTCAATTCCTAGTTGCAGATTAATGGATGCATACTGAATGTTCCGAAACTAGGACGAAGCAACTGTCTCTGGTATTCATTTAGTGGTTCTCTAAGTGAAGTCACTTCAGGATGTGACTTGAAATAAACTATATCCCCGTATACCAACACTTTACTGCTTAATTGAAAGAAGTCATGATGACACAGATAAATAAAAAAACGTAATACACTGTTGCGTCGGTGGTATAGCGATTAGGATGCTCGCCAACTATGCATATGGTACGGGGTTCGATCCCCAGACACCGACGCACTCCTTTACCTTGCTAAACCAGAAATAAAGCTGGTGAAGAGGAAAGGTTGGGCATGAGGCTAGCAACCCCATCCTGTAAAAATGAACACTGCTACAGAAACTTCAAGCCTCTAGCTTGAAGCCCTATGTTCCACTGGGAACGTGAAGGAATTAAAAAAAATACACTTGCGGAGAGTTGATAGGACAGTCAAACATTCAGTTTAATCTATTTATTTACAAGTTCGTTTTGTTACTTACCTAGAAAGTCTAGTAATATTAAGAAGGATTATTACTGTTATCAACTTTTATTTATTTATTTTCAGAATATCTCTAGTCGTAAGCGGAAATTTGTTGACTTTTAAAAAGAATGATATATATATGAGCGTCTTGAAAAGAATTCTTTAAATATTTTAGTTAAACTATTGTTTATTACAAAATGAGTCTCCAACTAATGCATACACATATATATATTTTTTAAATATAACCTTTGTTATTGTTTGTGATCATTGTATTTTATCGAATTGCTTTAAAGGTGATGATACTATTTTGTAGATAGCTTCCGAGAATAATCTTTATACCTTGATCTTAGACGTTCGATCTCAAAAAATATTTCAAAAACTAATATTATAGCGGTAGTTAACAAATGAATATGTTTATATATCATTTATTCATTCTGGATGGTGGACTCTTTCCCGGGATATGTCGACTGAACTGACATTCACTACTGCTACTTGACAAATGGTCTCTTTAGTAAAATAGATTGCAGTGCCTGTGGCTGTTGTAAAGAATTCTCTGAGCTAGAACTTACTATATCTACCTGAAGTCATAAAATGACATTTTATTACTGTTTGTCGCGAAAATTCAGTACAAATAGAAATCTGTAGTATATTGGATAGTATGCACTATGCAACACATACTGCTGGTTCATAAGACTAAGGAAAAACTGATCATATCAAACTGTGATGTTTGCTAGTTAGATGTGTTATTATATTTCTTATTCGGAAATAGACAGCTTTGTAACTACGTAGGAATGACTGGTGTACAAAGAGTCTGAGGCATATCACGCATACACTGAGAAAACCTACAACTAAGAAACGCAACGTGTTAGTCAACTACTACTGATGTATGCATTAATCTGTGTTGTGTTTCTTAAGTTACATCTGTCTTTCTCAACTTACGAACAACAATAAACTCTTATATTTTCTCTAAGTAGTAAAACGTGCTTATTTGCATGAAATTATATACTACTGATAGATTGAGATGAGTAGTTGTATACCACACACACACATCAACCAGTAGTGCTTGCCAGTCAGATCGGAGCGATCTAAACACCAGCCAATCATTTGGCTCGTTTGGACTCGAGTTCATCAGTGGTATACCTGATTCGACTCGGTGCAGCATTATATTAATGCTATGGTATTACAGTTCCTGTTTCACACAGTATTAGTTAAAAAACTTAATTACCAAGGACAGGCTTTGAACCACACTTATTGTGTGAGAGCTGGTAACAATACCCAGTTACCCAGTCTAAAGTAGGTTGGAGAGAAATTCGAACTTGGGACCCATTGGTTGAATTTCGAGTGCTTAAGCCACTAAGCCACATCTCTTTAGACAATGGGATCTTTGTGATTATTTTATCATTGTGAATTATACTGAGGTATAATCTCGTACCAGTTATATTAAAATATAAATATAAACATAGCTAAACATCGCGAAGTAATGACGACAGTAACTTACTTCCAATGCTTCATATATAATGGCGAACAAAAATGAACCAAGACATGCCACAATTGCTTCTACAAATAAAAAGCATGAGTTTTAAGATTTTATGTACTTCCAAGAGTGTCTATAACCCAAGGCGAAAAAAGTAGTGTATAATGAAGATCTGTGTTGAAATACATCTGCAAATAATTTCATATAGCAGGAACTAGTCGTACTTTCATATCCATTGAATGTCCGGCTGATGGCATATGAGACATTTGAGAGTGTGATGGCGGATGGTTGTGGTGTGAATGTTCCATATTACAGCTTTACAATAAGAACTTTGAAATTTTTTAGGGTATTTTTCGGTTAGCCAAAACTGAACACCTTCGTGCTGCAGATGCTCTGAAAAATGTAATGAAAATGAAAATATGAGTTTATTTGAGGCAAATGAACTTACATAATCTTGCGTTCTACACGAGTACTATTCTAAAACTTAAGTATATTATCAAGTATCCGTTTGTAGGGATTTCATTGGTTACAGGTCTGATCAAGTGTCGACATCAGTTACGGAATGACTAGTAAACCAGGGAGTACTGGACAGTTATTTCGTCATAGTTTGGGACTCTTCATCAGTACACAAATCCAGGTTTGAACCCTGTACTTTCAGCTTTCAAGCCAAGGTCGTAGACTATTCAGTCACGGGGATTTAATCCAGTGGCTTAAAGAAATAAAGAAATATGTTATTACTTGAAACTCGGCACCCTAGACTACTTGATTTTGTATAACAGTGAACATAAGGGGCAACCCACTACATTTACGGACGCACAGCTATTTAGTTGCAACCAATGATCACGGTAATCTTTTTTCTACCACTTTGAGAAGTGCTGCCTCCAGGCTTAATTTATATTTATTACCCTCCCACCTTAATTTTTAGTATGAAAATACTAAGTGGCTCATTTTAAGTAAAATCTTGAATGGAATAATCACTTTTGAAACTAAATACGCTCTATTCACTATGAAAAAAATTTCCAAAACTGAAAAACCCGTATATCATAGAATGACAACAGCCGCAGTACTGACTAAATACTCAGAGTGAATATAAATGTGACAGTTCAAGTTAACGGAAGTTTAGTACTTCCTCCAAGAATTAAACAGCTTCGAGTGTTTTGAGAATATGACTTTTGGATTCTTATAATATGTGCTACATTGTTGTTGGTTGATTTCATCTTATTGCATCAATATTTGTGAGAAATTGGCTCGCGAATAATAGTCTTGGATCTGTTTAAGTCGCGGATGCATTGACCGAGTGGTTACTCTTCGTTAGTTGTGTCTTGATATTATGGCTGCCTTCGATTCGTTGGACAGAAATGTTCTTTGGAAGTCTGTTAGTGAGAAGTGTTCCTGAGAAGTTTGAAAACATACTAAAAATCCTACAGAGAATAAGGGCATATAACCAGCTACTGTCGCTATTCTCAATAAACAGTGGTGCTAGACAGGTTCATCCAACCTCAGTATTCCTATTTAACTTCACTATCGATGGCATTTTGGAGATAAGTATGAAAGATGCGCGTAGTGTTGGTGTAGATGTCCTTCCTAGGGAAAACTTTTAGACCTCGAGTATGCAGACGATATCGTCTTGCTGTGCGATAACATGCAAGCCATCCAAATAGCACTTAATCAGTTGATGGGCACTGTCTGTACGCGCCACCCAAGTGCAAATGTTGTTGCAAGGCTGGTAGCAGCCTCTACCTGCACTTACACTAGCAGCTGGACCTTTGGAATTAGTCAACAAGCTAGTGTATCTAGATAGTTGTGAGAGTTCTGGCGGTATGATGAACAACAGCTTTAGTGGTATAGTGGAAGTTAGGGCCACTGTCGTGACGTTAGACTAGTCGTCAAAGGTTGGGTTTACAATGCCTCATTGCGTGCATTCTTGCTCTATGAATGTGAAGATACGATGAGTACTGCCTTTTTCTGGCAAGAACCTCACCTGGTTTTAATGGGTTTATTGCCCCTAAGTGCCACTCAGTCTACACAGGATTATGAATCCTAAAATCACATATACCATGTTAATCCTCTGTGATTATCACAGGAAGACTTGCATGCAGTTTTGAAACCTACGATAATCAATGATTTACACCAGCCTAACGATACTATATTTGATTCCCAGACATGAATTAATACTTTAGTTAACCCAGATAGCAGTTCTTCACCACTGTTCCGAAACACCTCTGAAGTTCAATCAGGTGCCGCTGCTTCGCCTTGGGTTAGACCAATCACAGCTTTTTCAACAGCAGTCATTATTAGAGGACAGGTGTTTACATTCATTCAAGGAAAGATGTTCGGTACTGAGCAACTCCAGAGTAACTGTAGGTTAATCCAGTGTCCCTTAGCAGTATTCTCTCCAACATAACATTCGTCTTTTCAGAAAAGTAACTAAAGTACCATCCCCAGAAACTGTTTCATCTACCACAGGAAAACGGGTAGTCAGATGCCTAGGTCCAATTAATTGTCGGGTATTATTTAATGGTAAAGCCTTTCTAATCTATCTTCACATAAATATTGTCTGCATTTAGCTACATCTGATGCGGTGCACAACGAACTGATATCGACTGATAAAGAAACAAATAAGTTTTTTTTTTTTTGCCAATTACAGGCTACTTAAAAATTCTTTATCAACATATATTCAAGTTGAAATAGAATTTTATGTGCATCAGCCGACAAGGACTCAGTTTTATTTAAGTTCAACTGCCATGGCAATAATTCATTGTTGAAGATACTGGAACTTACCAAGCGCATACTCTTCTACAGTATATATTTTTTGGTTTACATTGTTCACAGATTTGGTTGCTCAAACTACAGTAACTGAAATAATAACAAAGTCTGTGCCGCAGTAATCAAAATCCGAGACTCTTGACAAAGACGCATGCTACTCCCCTTATTATAGTGTATTTAGCATTTTACCTAAGGATTTCAGGAAAACTGTGCCATATTAAGTGGAATTTACTAACGCCATTAAAGGCAATATTTTTAAATTAAACATTTAGGAAATCTAGTGAACGTGAAACAGCTTGATCAAAATGTGCAGGCATTTTAGTGGGTACATACCTGCCCAAGCTCATACCAAGAGAAAGACTGGGATAAAGATAGGAATTATGATGCACGGTCTGTGACAGGAAATAGGCTGAAAATCTTTTAACGAACAGAAAATAATTTTCAGATGTTAAATACGTAGTTCTATTAAATATAGTAGCAACATAAACCTAACAGAATTAAGGATTTGTATATTTGATGACTATAAGACATTACTTTTTCGGCAAAACTAGTGTTGTCTAGTGATTACTATGAGTAAGAAGGCGTAAGTTACAAAGTGGGTACCAGGTAACATTACAAAGTTGAAATAATCCTACATACTTGACCGGAAAATCTGATGTAAAAAAGACTGAGACCATGATTTGAGAGAGGAAACCAAAATTCAAGGGACAGTGACAAGACAAGTTGATTCAGACACAACAGAAGTATTAGGAACACGAAATCTTATGAGAGTAGCCACTTTACATTTGAATGAATTCAACTTAAGGTAGTAATGGTTTGACCAAAAAGGGCCAAGTTAAACTTTAAGCACCACTAACTACCAGTGGATTGCGACCGCACCCATGACCTTCAAACGCTCACTGAACAAGTAAGTGAAACCTGGCATATAATGTTGTAATCATCAATAAAATATGCTCATCGAAGCGTTATGCTATTAAATGGGATACCTGCCAAGTTTCAGGTTAGGTTTGGGAAAGATTAATCCACGCTTTAAGCAAAGGACAAGTTAGGGTTAGGTTCATGTGATGAAGGCGACATTAGGGTTCGTTCGAGTTAGATTGCAGTTACTTTAGGGATACTTTCACGTTAGGGTCAGGTTCAGGAAAGATTGTGGTTATTGTAAGGGTTAGAAGACCTAAATAATTACACGCATAGAATGTGGTTAAATTACTCTGTTCATACAAAAAATAGAACTTGTGCACTGTTGCGGTGGAGTATAATTCCACTATCGGTAAAATTTGTTTTGATAAAGTTTCACAATGTGTTACACAATAATATTTACTGATGACCACGTTTCGAGCCGGATTTATTGCTCAGTAAATATTACTCTATAACACTGTGAGACTTTATCAAAATAAATTTTACCCACAATGGAACTTTACTCTGTTGATACTCCAACATAAAACTGGGAGCTACTTTAATCACATGTGGGAGGAAGGTAACCTTCGTAACACTCTTCCACAGTTTGTATGAATTTTTTCAAAAATATATCTATTCCATACACAAAAATGCCTTGTTCATGTGGCGGTGTGTTCGAGTTCATTCACTGATTCGTAGTAATTACTACTTAAGTGGTGCTTCAAGTTTAACTTTGCCCCAAAAAGCTTTTAACATGAAACGTAAACGCTGTATCACATGTTAACACAAAACGGGCACTTGTGACATGTCTTACCAAATACACATACCTAAAGGAGCCGCACTCGCGAGAGCTAATTTCCTGCAATGCCAGTGACCTTCAATTTGAATAAAACAGCTGTCTCCGTCGTAAAAGAAAACAAAAAGAAATGAAGTGAAAATAAAAGTCCGAAATTTCACATGTACATAGGTTAAATCACTTTTCCACATCTTTTATATTTTCCTTTTTGATAAATTCCTCGTTTTCATGCTGACAGTTTCGAGAAACTTGGGATTCGGATCGGGATTCAATGGTAGGGGACATCAGGCTATTGTTGACTGTTATAATCTTTACACTATATACCTCCATGACGCCAATTGAACTGTTTCAGTCGTATTAGCTTATGTAAAATAACTTGAATGCGCAGGAAAATAATTAATAATTGTGACACTATTGACTTGGGGCACATAGAAATGCTTTCACCTTGTAGTGACCCATTTTTATTATTCATCATCGTAGTATACTTTCACTATGTAATTGGACTTTGATTTGTTTACCACTCCAAATATTGCGTGCTAACAACTGAGACATTTGTAGTCGCTCAACTTTTGAATTTTGATTACGGCGATAATACACATTTATACTCCTTATCAAGTACCTTTTGATTCACATTGTGGATGTCGAGTAATCACAACGTTAGGAAACAATAATAAACGCGAAGAAGTACTGGGATATACGTGTACGCTAGTCTGGTCAAATAGAGCACCACAACAATTGGTGATCCCAACGGCCTTACCGACTTTTGGTCCAATATATATTAAGTCATAAAATAAGCAAGTATTTGGATTTTTTAAGTGCATAATGTGAATGTGGTGAGATGGTCTTCCCAGTATATATATCGCTTCTGATTTAAACATGGATGTTTAGTGAGGACATGATTCTACGTCGTCAATCACATTTTTCGTTTAACTTATGGCTGTGCAGTTTTACCGGGGTCACCATATGACAACATGAGCTATACACGTGTTACTGTGGTGGAAATTACGCTGAGTCGGTTCCGCAGATTTATTGAGTGTTCCGACAAGCAGATAACGAACTAACAGCAGTCTTTCTATCTCTTCAAAAGTCACTTCCTTTAATCTTTGTAGGTCATGCCTGGACGTGTTCTGCATTTCAAATGATAAACACTGTTTTCCTGATACTGCTAAAGTTACTGGCGTTTAGAATCAGTATAACTCGCTAATTAGTGCTACGCTTGCCAGATTCCCAGCTTCATTGTCGTTTTGAGTTCAACATGTTTCTTATTTTAAAAACGTGTCGAGATGCATGCTTATGGACGACCCCAAGGAAGACGAATCTGTGAGTTCTTCGCTGAAGATGACCGTTTTATTAACTTATCAAAGTTATCAAAGAAAACGCTTGGCATATTCCTAAGGAATGTTATCCTAGCGAAGAAAAGTATCACTAGTGAAGTGATTGCTCGACGCTTTCTAAACGTGTGGGAATGGGATAGCAATAAAGTATCTCCAAATTTACGATTCAATCATTTGGCCTGGTTTCTTAGGTTAAAATATTCAAGCTTCATATCTCGCATGTGTAAAAGGTCAAAATACAATAGAGTTATACTTCCGTATATTAATGTGGTGCACAGTCGGGAGTACATTATGATTGTTTCAGAGTGAGGGATATTACGAGATTCTCAGCTATCAGTAGTTGCTTATGGTAGGGTTGTGACAACATGGGATAATAGTCTATTTTAGTGATAGGTAATCCTCTAGAGTTATTAGCCACAGCACTCACTATTCGACATCGGATGCTTGTGCTAGCTCATGGTCAGACATCCGCTCCATTTGGCAAGCCGTCATTCTACGTTCGTTCATTCGTGCACGATCTATAGCTAGTTAAGCAGTTAAACTCGTACAACGACTTGGGCCCCAAATATTCTTCGCAATTTTGGCAGCCAATTTGGTATTTTGCTTTGTCTTTGGTCTACGTGGGACGAATGCTGTAGAAGCTGTGTGTATTAGATATGGCGTTAGTATACATCGCACTATCCCTGAACATTAACGCCGTCAGCCTCTTAACCATAAAGGTCAACTGTTACATAGCTAATATTTCCGATTTGAAAACTTGGAGCATTTTTGTAATGAGAAGTTTGTAACAGTGTTATATATCAGCAGCTGAAGGTGGGCGTCAGAAATTTTGCTAGTTATAGCTCAGACAGCCAACAGACCTTGGAATTTTTGGCATGACACGTAGGATTAAGTACACGAACGTCAGACACTCTGGTACTATATGTGGCATCTTTGTCAGTCGGGAGGGACAAATATGATGTAAAAACAATATCGGGTTTCCTTATAATAGCCTTTACTCAGAAATCTTCGCTGTGTGCCGCATTAACCCTGGCTGGTAAACAAGAAAACCGAATCATTTTGGTTGATATTGACCAATACATTGCAGCTAAACCTTCAGAAAAATTGCACACGAAGAATTCGCTGCTATCTAACTGGCATCATTCAAAGATTCTCAAGGAGATATCAGTCACTATCGCTCGTTCGTTAAGTGCTATCCCTCATACTACTATAGAACCTCTACATTACGTTGTTCTATGGCCATTCATATGCAGTAAGTAATCAAGGAATTCAGATGGATAGAATGAGAAAACAATTAGGATCCACATCTTCCTTATGGTTTGTAAGGTCTTCCGTATCCGTTGAATGCTGGACGTCTGTCCGTTTGTTAGATAAATTATTTCCCGCTTCAGTTGCCCTACACTGTGTTTTTGAAAGTAAAGGCTCACAAACACCACTAAGCCTCTGCAATAATATGAGTCGTTGGTAGGCAATCCGAATAATTATTTTGACAGAAAAGTCGATTTCTAAATTGGCGAGTGTGTTTCGTTCAGATTTTGCCACTATTTTTGGCTGACCACAGTCTGTATATCTGTTTTGTTCTTGTTTGTTTTTAGGATTTATTAATCTGTCGCTAAAACTTACTATCTAGGCGAACATTTTTAATCATAATAATGTCCTATTTGGCAAAGATAAAAAATGACTTCAAAAACTACTTCTGTGGGGGTAGACTGTTTAATAAATACCACAGTTAGGTCACCTGCATTTATATATATATTTATTCCTGCTTATGCAGGAACATACCAATTTTACAGGCATGGATAAGTTATTATATAAATTACAGTTTGTTCAATCTAACATTAGAGTCAGTCAGAACAGTCTGCAAAATAGTCTGTCTGTGTAACACATAAAGAGATATAGAAATATTGTCTTCGCATTAACAAAAACCCAGACTTCAGATGAATGTGATACAAATATCTGGGAAAAATAAAGCTTGAAGTCAATTCTCCTATAAGACTTTGTTGTGAACAGCATCCGTGAGATAAAGTTTATTGATGTATTATTTTGATTCAATAATGTATTTATTCCATTTTTGTCAGCAGTTTTATCGTAGTTTTATAATAGGAAAGAAATTTGATCTTTGATACGAAAATTAGACAAGGTAATGTTAAATTGTTTTACTGCATCAAATGGGGTCAATTCTAGAACTATCCATTAGCGCCATTTGCGTCAGCATGGCAGACTGTACACGTAAGTTGAGTAATACATTGAAAACTACTTGAAAACCAGTTGTTTCTTTATATCAGATCAAGAATAATCCTTGTACAGAATGTTAGCCAGCGTTTTCAAGTGGTTGCATCGGATCGTTCATGGAATTTGAGTTTGAATTTACATAAATGGTCATTTCAGTTTAAATGTTGGGTTGTTCGACCTCGACCAGGAGGTATATAGAAGATTACGCTCAGCAGGGAGATAAAGTATGTAAATATGGAAAGAACATTATTATTTTATGTACATATAAATGTTCATAAATGTATATCATTGTATAGTAAACACTACCCATAATCTAGTTGTTTTTCATGTAATTTTGCGAAGTCTTAGAGTTTATTTAGTGTCGTAATATTTAATAATGAGTCTAGGCGTTATAGTGTTCTAATAGCTCATGCGTTTTGGAAATAAGTGGTGCGGTGTGGTTGGCATAGTCATTGGGATGAAGCAGTTTATATAGCAAGCGTTTGAAGGTTATAATAGAGTGACAGGTCCTTATTTCTAGGGGTAAACTGTTCCAGATCTTAGAGTACATGACTATGAAGAAGTTTGCACGGAGTGCTGTTTTACAGTTTTTCCTAGATACTGTGCACGTTTGGTTACGAAGGTTTTAAGAGCCTTCCGGTGAGAACTGTATCTCCTTGCTGTCTGAGAATGATATTTTATGCAAAACTTTAAAGAAGAATGTTAGATTAGAGCTGAGTCGTCTCATCCAGAGTGGGTCGATACCTAGAGTTATACACCTTGATGTGTAGTCCTTTTCGCAGTCAAATCCTAGTACTCCGCAACTACGGTTTGCTCAACTAGAACACTGCTTCGTTCGGTTTAGTATAATGTGTGAAGGCATCAGCTATAGGGGCGTGCAGTCTCAGTCACTCAGTGAGATTAGTTAATAGAAGCGGGAACTTAAATTTCATCCCCCTAAGGAGCGGCCATAAAGTGCTTAAGTGCGAGGTGATAAGACACCTCCCTGTCAGAAAACCAGCGTATACAGCAGTTGCTTCAAAGGAACGACATGGAAGATAAATTCCACTACACGCAGCCACTTTGTAGGGATTAGCCCGATGGGAGGGGCTGTCCTAAAGAAAGAATGGTTACAAGCCCCCGGAGTATGTACAACATGCACTAGACGCACAGGATCCTGACACTTCTCTTGAACAGCTAATACCCATCGCTGACTCAGTGTTAGAAAGAACACGATCTATAGAGGGGCAGGTGAACTACATGAGTATGGGCAAAGACCAAGTAATCCCCGAAGTGGTGGCTAACTTTAGATCACTAGTTGGACAACTAGCGAAAATACAATTAACATAAGGCAGACTGGCTATATTGCCCAATATAGGAGGTTCTCGGCCAAAGATTAGACCCAGAAAAATGATATCAACGGGCCAACTCTGTTGTTATCATTGAAGGTTTCGCGCACAGTCAACAAAATGCACATAACCACGCAAATGGCCTAAATTATCTCACGAGCCATGGGAAAACTATTTACCCCAGCTCAGGTAGTGACTCATAAGAAAGGGTGCCTGGACAGTCGACTATTATACGTCAAGGATAAAAACTCTAATATGGACACTCTGGTTGACACAAGGGCTGCAAAGGTGAGGCCGGGACGACGGAAGTCCCCCGTCACGCTTCAGGACGTCAATAAAAGCCGAATCGAGGTGTTTCGGAGAAAAGCACTGACACTGTCGGATCTGAGGGACAGCCTCCATGAGTGTTCACCGTTTCCGACTCAGACCTAGCAATCATCCATATCAACTTTCTAGAAAGCTAATTTATGAGTGGATACACGAAAGAGACGTTTTATAGTGAAATAAAGCCTCTGGTTTACGAATGACAGAGCAAGCGAGCATCATTCGTTGAACCTAGACCAATATTTGCCAGTATCAGTTGAGAGTTTCCCGGAAACACCACTGGAATTCCTAAATCTAACGGTAGAGATTCCTCAAACCTCTGTGACTGACCCAAAATCACCCCAGTATTCACTAACACAAGAAGACATTCCCCCACACAAGCTACAAATAGCGAAAGCTGAATTGTATTAAATGCTTCATTTGGAGACTATCCAGCCTTCAAGTAGCAATGGGATTCGCCGTTAAACACTGTGGTTAGGCGAAATCAGACTGATTCGTGCTGTTGTGCGTCGGTGGCACAGTGGTTAGGACTCTCGCCGACCATACACATGGTCCGGGGTTCGATCCCCTGCCGGCGCACACCCGATATCTATGGTCGGCCTGAATTTGGGCTACCAATATCCATGCTGAAAGTTCCATACTTGTACTGAAAATACGGTGTGGAATCAAGCTGTAAATCAAAAATATTACGCAGCCCTAAATAAGCAAACCATCGCAAACCGGGACCCAGTTCCATACATTCAGGACTTTCCTCATAATCTTCTACGTGCTACAATATTTGCTGAAATTGACTTACGGTTTCTATAGCTTTTCAGTGACAGTCCTTGGTTTTCACTAACGCCCAAAGAGGTAGATATTATCAAACAACATCCCCTACCCACACCTCTTGCGCATCTCCAGAGTTTTTTGAGGGTGATCAATTTCTATCAACACCTTACTCCCAATTGCACAAAATACTTGCAGCCCCTGACTGATGCATTAAGGGGAAGTCAAAAAGCCTCAGCGCAATCGCCCAGTTGAAAGAAAAGTTGACGAAAGCCTCAAACTTGAAATATGCTAGCCAAGGGCGCTGCCTATGCATTAATGGTAGATTCATCAGAGAGTGCTGTGAGAGGCGCTCTAAATCAGTTAGTTGAAAATAACTGGGAACCGATAGTACTTTTATTTAAACGGCTTAATTCTGCAGAATCGAGGTATTCAACTTCTGGCAGAGAATTACCAGCAATCTACTTAACAGCCGAACAGTTTCTTCATATGGTAGAGGCCAGATCATCCACACGATCTACTCTAATCCCAAGTCTCTCATCTGAGCACTCAACGCGAAAACAGACAAATAATCAGCGTACTAAATTCGTGACCTTGGTTTAACATCAAAGTTTACTAGTGGTATAAGGCACGTGAAGGTGGTGGAGAACTGTGTGGCTGATACACTGTCCCGAATGCACGTGAATACAGTGAAACGAACCACTGTAGACTTCAAGGCACGGGACGAAAATCAAAAGAACGACAAAGAGCTAAAGCATATCCTCCAGTCCTAAACTTAAATATATTTTATTTGCTGCAACACAACAAAAGAGTCTATCAGGCTCCTCATCCATAAAATTAATAATAGGAAAGTTACATTAAGTGATTTGCTTTCTTTATCCCATCGTGGAGGAGAGGTTTCAGCTGAAATTATCTCGGTAACATATATTTGACCAAATTTACGATTCAACTTGCTGAAGTAGGCGAGAGAATGCATATCATGCCAGAGGGCTAAAATAAGAAGACACAATGTCACCCTGAGGAACATTCTCACCGCCGGATAACCGTTTCAAACATGTTCACGTGGAAATAGTAGGTCACCTGCCGTAGCTAAGGGGATTCACTTCCTATCATAATAATATATATTTTCCTATCGATGTAGGACACACCAGTTGTACAGGCATGGATAAGTATTATTTAAATTACATGAATTTGATTTATAGTGAAATTACATGGTTGCTGTCCTCTCTGACATCAGTTAGTGAGCACATTCTGATAGTTAGTCGTTCAATGGAGCACGTGCAGTGATAAGTTCACTGGGTTCTCGTTAGCTCCAACACTCACTGATACTACGTCGGAAAAGGTAGCAAAAACTTTTCTTCAGCACCGAGCAGCTACGTTCGACGTACCTATAAAAGTTACAAGTAGTTGAGGAAATATGAGGAGCAACCTAGTCACTAGGTTAGGTGGGCCAGGCTAAAGAGTCATCAAGTTACTGCTAAGGTCTAGCATGGTTGATAGCCTTATGTCAATCTTGAGGGTTATATCTGGTCGAAACCAGCTGGAAACTAGTTCAAAATTGTCCTAGAGGCTTCACTAACTGTTTTCCTAGGATAGACCTCTTCCATCGACAACTGAATCCTGCACTGACATGTTTTCAACCGCTTACCATAGCATATTCCCATCTGCTTCACCACTTTTATTCCAACATTGACGAAATCTTTTGCTCGATGTTACACTTCAGATATTGTAGTCAGTAGCACACTGAAGTTTCCTGATATAATGATTATTACTACTTCTGATAACAACGACTTTGACGAGGTTACCTGTGTTATCAAGCTTCGATTACTGATGGCTAACTTAAAGCCGAAACCTTCGAGAGAACAAACAAGAGAAGCATACATACCAAAGGACTTGGATTTATGTTGTCCCGTATGGGATGGGTGTAATAAAACCCAATCAGCCCTCAGTCTACAATACGCAGGCTTCTTCAAGGTCATGACAAGACACCAGAAACCCCTTGTTATTCAACGAGGTAATATCACGGATACTGTTAGCATTGACTTACCGAAACTGGCCTACCTAGACAACAGTCCTCCTTATATAGTGACAGAAAGCCCTTTGTCATCGGTAGTCGATAGTGAGGATTTTAACGCTAAATTTATGAAGATCGGCAAAGGTGTCAAGAAGGCTGAACCCTTGTGAGACGTTTCTAGCCAGTATATAGATCGAAAAACTGGAGGAATAAATACATAAATTCACCTGATCCATATAGAATCAAACTAAATAATTTTTTCTACTATTTTCCAGAAAACCAGCAACTAATAAATTAGGGGACCAAGGAAGTTCGTAAAGCCTATTGAACACCAGCCGTCTCACTGTCAACGATCGGATTTGTTATTGACGCAAACTGAAACACATAGTGGCTAAATAAATTACCAAGGGAATGCAGCTCAATGGCTCTGTGTGGTGTGGTTGTTTATCTCTATAATCTATTCTCATCATTGCTAATTAATAAACTCTTGTACATCCTTGAGAGTAATTACCTTCTTTCATTAGTTGGGGAGGTCTTAAGAACAGCCTGGTCACCAGGTTAGGTGGACCTGGCTAAAGAGCCGACACGTAGTGTGACTAGAGCTCAGGTCTAACAGGTAGGATGGTCCTACAACAATCGTGAGGATTGTTTCTAGTTGAAGATGTTCATGCAATGTATCTAAAAAGGTTCTAAAGAGCTTACCGACGTGATGTTGAGTGGCCAGCTCCTAGCAGTGCTTCAAGAGTTTTCTTTCTTAATGTAACGAAGTCTTGCCTGTTGTCTCCACTTAGTTCTCATCTCGATGTGTCAGGGTAAACTTCTAAGCTAGCGTGAATGCATCAGCCATTATTCGGGAAAGAAACCACGGAGAGTTCAATAGAATGTTAAACGGTATCAAAACTCAGTTTGGTTGGCTTGAAAAATATATACTTCCCATCAACACAACTGGTTGCTGGACCGAAGTGATCGGTATTTAGCTAAATTCGCCATTAATACGTTTGTAGGAAATCAAAGAGGACTGTGGATAGAATGAACTTCAGATATTTTAGTTTCCTTATGCTTCTTCGTAGGTGTCAGGTAAGGGCGTCAGGAAAAAGTGGTTTTTCATTGAAGAAAAGCCGTGGCTTGAGTAGGAGGATTTGTGCTGATTCCTTTTATTCTCTGTATTCATATTTGTCCATAAACAGATGTTTCTTAATTCCCTATATGGTATAATCGTTACTCCTTTTAACAATTTTGGGAGTTCTGAATTATTTCTGTTTGAAGCCAAGAAGAAAAGATGTCCGAAGAACTTATTCATGCCTGTACAATTGATATGTTCGTGCAATCTGCAGGTAATCTGGTTAGGTGACCACCCGAAACCAGAAGGGTAGATTACCAGAGGGCAAGGAACCGGGTGAGCTCCCACTTCTTTTCACTCAGGGTATGCTGTCCCTGGAATTCCTTACCAGCAGACGTAGCTACAGCACCATCTGTGGACGCATTGAGCGAAGGCTGGACAATAATGTAGCAACACAAGGACTGCGTCCAAATGGCCTATCCCCTTAAAGTCCCTTACACCATTCGGTGGTAGACAACTAAGTTCGTCGTTTTACTTCTTAACATTCTCTCCCGTCTTACTCTCCTGACAACTCAATCTACACTCATTATTACCAATATATATTTATCACCTTCAAATTTAATCGAATGTCTGTCGTTACGCTTTCTTTATTTCTTTTCTGTTAGCCTGAATAACTTCACTAATTATATCTATTATTATTATTTTGACGACGATACCGGAAGACTAACTGGTGAAAGGATCAGCCCCATTCACAGTTTTTTCCTTCACGTTCTCCGGTGGAACATAGGGCTTCAAGCTAGTGGCCTGAAGTTTCTGTGGCAGTTTTTATTTTACAGGATGGGGTTGCTGGCCTCATGCCCAACCATTCCTCTCCACCAGCATTATTTCTGGCTTAGCGAGGTAAAGGAGTGCGTCGGTGGCCGGCGATCGAATCCCGGACCATGTGCAGGGTCGGTGAGCGTCTTAACCGCTATGCCACCGACGCACCATTCACAGTAGTAACAGTCTTAATACACCTCATACTACAAACCACATATAATTCATCCCAGCACTACTTCTTTTGGAGTCAACCAAAGTTACGACAGTCGAGTGGCGGATCGAGCTACGCAGAAGTTTACCGAAGATCAGGAACCTATACCTCACAATCAAGAGGCGAAAACAAGGAAATCAAACTGGTTGGTACTAGCTCGTAAAAATGATATTGGATATTGGAACATATCTTGGAGAGAAGTTCGCGTGTAGGCGCGCTAAGTTTGTTAGTTGTGTTACGCGTAGGTCGTTTGGACTGTTATTGCATTTATTGCGTGTGCAGGTATCTAAATACGACTTTCCAAGTCAACTATATTGGTGAATTTAATAATTGGGTTTTTAACATCAGTTTGTGAAGCTTGTTAATTAGCACAGGAATATTTATTTAGGGTATTTACTTATAAGCATAATTAGAATATTATTGGGACTATTAATCATTTTCATGTGCCTTTTAAGTGGGCATTCATAAGAGTCAACTAAATTTTTTGTCAACATTTCTGTAGTAAATTTCATCTGAACTGACCGGAATTCGGGAGTATATCCCTACATTCGGTACTAGAAAATACTGAGTCCATGAAGTTAAAGTTGCTTTTAAGTGATGAACACTTAATCTGACCAAAATATCACATCAGGATTGACCTTAACTAAGAAAATTATTAAACGTATTGTAACAATGAGCAGGGATTTGAGACGCACATATCCTGGAAAGAGTACAGAGGGTAGGAACGAAATTAGTTAGTGGTATCTCACACCTTCCTTATGATAAGAGGATGGAGCATTTAAATCTCTTCCCGTTATCCAACTGAAGGAAGAAAAGCGATTTAATTTTAGCATACCGTATACTTAAGGATGATTTAGGAATTGACTTTTCCAACCTTTTCTCCCCTTCTAGGATACATTTACGGGGTCACCGCAAAAAGGTGCTCAAGCCGAGGAAGATTAAAATAAGTGCAAAATTTAGATTCCTTCACAGAGTACTCAACGACTGGAACTGCTTACCGGATTCAGTAGTATCAGCTCCATCGGTGAACGCTTTCAAAGAGAAGTTAGATCTCTGCAGAGATATATATCGCGAGGATTAACACAGGTCACAAGAGCCTATTATCCTTATCATCTGAATCTGAATCTGATACCTCTGATCATCAGGGTAAAGATGAAAAAAGTCACATTAGATTAAGAGATTGGTTTGTGGCTTGGCCCTAGTGTTGAGTTGCGTCCACACGTATAGTTTGTGCTATTATTCCCTATCTTAACATATATACTGTGCAAAATACGGTTATTGTTGACTATTCAAGTTAAATATCAAGCTAAGCTGGAAAACTCTACTCTCAACTACCTTACAAAACTACAATCGACTGTTGTTACACAGGGGTAAGATATCAAATCAGATATGCAGGTCTTTTAAAACAGTCTTTGTTCAGCTGGAAAACTCAAGTATAAAGCTTTTGATCATGGAATACAGTCTCCATTCTCTCTATTTTATCAGATTGTTAGTATTTTTAGTTGTCCTACATGAAGTCAAACAAGCAGACTAGTATGTATTGAAATTGTAGTTCCAGTGGATTCTGCTAATCAGCTAAACAATGATGTAAGAGTGAATATTTGAGAAGGAAGCGTATATTTGTTTGCTCATTGAAATTCCACTTGTTTTGATTGGCGATTTATTCGTAGATGGATGTTTGTACTTTTTGAAAAGCGGTTCTCATTTTCATATTAACCTTGAGAAGTAGGTAGTTAATCCGAAATTCATTATGTACCATTGTTTTATTTGTTTTAGTTAACTCAGCATTAACCAGGCATTAATCAACAACATATATTGGTACCTGTCCAGAGAATATGGAAAATGATGATGTTGTCCTGACGGACAGTACGAAGAAGATTAAGGCTATTATTTTGATTGGTGGTCCATGTAAAGGTAACTGCTTACACCTCGGTTACTTTCTTTAAATTTAGGCACTCGATTTAGACCATTGTCTTTGGAGTTACCAAAACCACTTTTTCCTATAGCGGGATTTCCTGTTGTATATCACCACATTGAAGCTTTTTCCAAAGTAATCTTTAAATTTTTTTATTGCGATTCAGTTACCAGGATTAAGAGAAATTATCCTCTTGGGGTTTTATCAGCCTAACGAAGCTCTTAATCAGCTCATTTCAAACGCACAACATGAATTCAAAGTTTCTGTTAGGTATGTTTTTGTTCTCATGTGTCACTTAATTTTCTACGTGTCTCACACTTCAGTTTTGAACTCCCTACCATGTATTGTTTTGCGTTATATCGATCACTGCCTGCTTGAGGAGTTGAATCATCCCTAACAGACTGATCATTGACAAAATGTTAGTACAAGTACAAAAGTCCCCTTCGTTATCTTATGACTTTCATCGTCTTTGTTGCACGCATAGCAGCCAAATATATATCAAATATTTCCCAATAGTTCTGCCCGTCATGTAAGACATTGGCTGAAAGTAGGACGTGAACGAGACCGAATTTGTTTGTTTGCAGGTGCACTCGTCCTATTGTTTCTGTCAAATGAAACAGTCTAAGCTTAAATTTCTTATTATCTCATATTTACTCCATTTGACCAAGTATCCCGGCGAGCAGCAATTTGAACTGCTGCATTGATGTTGACCTCGTCATCTATAAGTCTATATTCAGTTCAGGGTTTTACTGTTGTCATTTATTGTATTTTTTTATCATGAAATTTTAAGTATTAAAGCAGCGCACTTTTTGGGGTTGTACCGTACTACTTATAAATGTTTAACCGCTTCAGTTTCCAATGGCTTTTATTTACTTTGAGAAATGTTCTGAATAATTGCTCAGGAATAAAATATGTGCACTGCTTTGCCGCTTGTATCCCGTTGTGTTTTCCCATTTTGTTGTCACAGTTTCGTTTTATCGTGTAAACCGTGATAGTAGCTTCCTCAAAATCCTTAGTAAAATTTATGCGATAGTTTGATGTATGTGATGTATATGTATATATTTATAATGTCTCAGTGAATTGCAAACGTTATACATCTGACTTTAACAGATACTTACAAGAATTTACATCACTTGGGACTGCTGGTGGTATATATCAGTTCCGTGACCAGTTGTTATCTGGGTCTCCAGACTTGTTATTTGTTATGAACGGTGATGTTTGCTGTGACTTACCTCTTGAAGAAATGCTTGAATTTCACAAATGCCTAGGCACTGGAGATCGATTCGTAATTATGGCGACTGACGTAAGTTGACTTTCCTTTACTTATTGTTTTAGTTAGTTTTATGAATTAATCTAACGTCATGTTTTTGAGGTGATGCTTATGACAGTATGTACTATCTAGTTGGCATGGTATTTCAGGACACTCAGAGATATAACAAAACTAATTTGTTCTGTATCCTCTGGTACATTTTGATATTATGGTGGTTCATTGCGTGTTCACTCAGGTACCGCTTCTAACTGCTTGTTTGATTTATTGGGTTTAAAAGCGCCCCTCGTGTGTATGCTAGATTTTGCTGCTTGGTTTCTCTACATATATATCCTGCCGCAGTTGTCTTCTACCTCGATAAATATTTTCATCCAAAAATAGCTTGAGGCTTTTATGAGCATGGAGTAAGTTACTTAAATTAGGGACAAACTGTTACATCCAGTGATATATTAAAACTCAAGACATCAATTTAGCATTGAGATGTTGATCTGATGTTTGTATAAGATGTGATATTTTGTTTGTGATTTCGTAAATGGCTCAACTTGGTATATATTAGTGTTCTTCGTACTCCGATAGTGACATTTCATCCTTCATCACTTTGGTCGCCCGAATCACTCAGCAGAGCCTACCATTTTCCTAGTTACCATACCATTTTCGGAAATGTGTTAGTCTCAAAACGTTGTATACCAAGAATTTACAAGCAAAACTGCTTAATGATCCAGGAGTTTCACTCACTCAATTCAGAAAGCTGTATCCGCCTACCGTTTCCACCAAATAACTTGTTTTCAGAGCACATCAGTTGTTAATTTAAACAAGTGATAATACTGTTTTTAGCAAAGTGTTCCCGTTTGCAATGATTTCTTCGATGAGCTCACTACGCATTCATATAAAATATAGTGATCACAAGCTCCAGGTAGTAAGTCACACAACCTTTATATTTAGGCATTATCATTGAACCTCTTATTAACACTGACTAAAGTTGAAGAAAGTAGATAACATGGAATAGACTGACTGATTTGAATATAGAACTTTGCACAGATGCGCAGCAGTTCCAGTTACCGCACCATTTAGCACACAAAGCAAGAGAAGAAAGTAAAGAGAGATTGAAAAGAAAGATAATCAACAGAAATGTGAGGCAAAAAGAATAGTAATATGGAAGAACTCTAGAGTTTTATTGGGTATTATAAATAATAAAGAGTGAATGCATCTGGTCCAGCCATCAGTGAGAACGATTTTGAGCGATATCACCAATTGTCTCCAGCCTTCATTGGTTTTCGCCGTCCCGAAGACCCAAACCAGTCAGAAAGTCTGCACCTCCCAACATGGCTGACTTAAACTAACTGTTATGGATTTCAATGACTGAAGAAACCATGTTTTGGTTAGACCACCACTAGCCTTCTCTTTTCCAACCTGATCCCATGTCAGCTAACATTACTCATCGAGGGAGGCGATGGCTAGGCATGCGTAACACATGTCCTAACCATCTCAGTCGATGTAACTTCACAGTCTCGTTTACTGATTTCCCCTCCCACCTACCTAGCACTCAACGGATGCCTTACATCAATATTAATCACCTTATTATACCAACTAATATGGGAGATGCAACACAGATACTTATGATCAAAGATAGCTAGTCGCCTTTTCATATCTTCCACTCTCAATGGCCAGGTCTCACAACCATAAAGGAGGACGGAGCGGACTGCTGAGCAGTACACACGTCCTTTGGTCGACAGCCTGCCGGATATCACGTCTGCGCAAGAGATGGCATATAAAATGGAATACGTTTGATTGGTGTTTATTGTTTGCTCTCTTATCATTACGCCATTCTAAATTTCATTCTATAAATTTGTATCTTTAATTTTAGGCAACGCGTCAACAGTCAATGAAATTTGGTTGCATTGTTGAAGATCCCATTACTCATGAAGTAGGTAGTTGTACACTTGGATATTTTCAGATGTAGTTCACTTTAAACCCTTCAATGGAATTAAATTATAGTTTAGTGTTTGCACTTTTTTGTCAGGTGAATTTATTTCTCAGTGGAACTAACTAGCTTTAATATTGCCTTAGTCTTGTCAGACGAGCCGTGTTAGTCTGGGAATAATCGTTTTAAAAAAGAAGTTAATACTAGACTTACTAAGATGTGGCATCATTTCATAAAGCCTTTGAATATTGATCTGAATCTGTAGAGAAGTATAGGCTGCCCAACTGTTGTTCGTAGGATGTTACTAAACGATAGTTAGGGAATTTAGTGATTTTGTCTTATTATTATTGTTCCCTTGGGTTCCTAGTGGAACATAGGGCTTCAACTACACGTCTCCACTTGATTCTGTCTTCTGCTGTACTTTTCACCTGCATCCATGTTAGTCCATACTGTTTCAGCTCCTCTTCACACGATCTCCTCCATGTCACCCTTGGACGTCCCACTCGCCGCTTCCCTTTTGGGTTCCACTCGAGCACTGGCCTGACGCGCGATGTCACCCAGTGGCCTCCTCAGCGAGTGTCCAATCCATCTCCACTTTCTCCTGCATATTTGTTGGGCGATTGGTTCTTGTTTTGTTTGTTCCCATAGTTTCTTGTTGGTGATTCTTTCCGGCCATCTAATCTTCAGTATAGAGCGAAAACAGCTGTTGATAAAGGTCTGCAACAGGCTGTTGGAAATATTCTTTGTGACCCGCCAAGTTTCTGATCCGTATAGAAGAAGTGACTGACTTGACGTTTGTATTGAAAATCCGAATTTTGTTGTTGATGCAGGCTGAGTGACGAAGATTTCCAGATTGGTTTCAGGTGGATGAATGTGTTTCTCGCCTTCCCGATTTTGTCTTAAGTCGACCTTAATCCATGGAGACGGATTTATAGTTGACAGGTACTACATTCGTCCTTGTCTGTCCGCAGTGAAATATAAATTTGCCTTTGCTTTACGAATTAAGTCCTCTTACTTTTGCAAAGAAATGAATCACATGACCTTATTTATTCTCATACTACTTCAACTTTCTTCATGACAATCCCAGTGATGCATAGATTTGCTTTTATTCACCGAATATCAGATACAGTGAATCGTACTTTAATTGAATAATTTAATTGCATTGTAATCGTCGGGATGGTATTGAATAAGTTTAAAGTCTTTTCATGTAAAAGAACTATCGTGTTGTGAGACTATCTTTTGAATAATCAGTTCAAGTATGCTTTTAGGCAAGAGAAAGAATCAAATAGCTGAATTTCACCTAATTGCCAATCTATCTCAAATGGTAATTTGGTTTATATATTTTCCCTTTAAAGGTTATGCATTATGTTGAAAAACCAGCCACCTTTGTCAGTACAACTATAAATTGTGGAATTTATCTATTTACTCCGGGAATATTTAAATTTATCCGTATAGCTTTTCTTGAACATCAGAATCAACTGAAGTAAGTAAATTTCTTGATGAATGGTTTCAGTGTTTAATTGTTGTATAGTAGTACTATCTTGTAGACTTAAGTTTTTTTTTTACATATTTAATACTGTTCTGACCTTAGCGATTAAGTTATTTGGCTCTATGTTATACGTATTATAAGGTGTTATATTGTAATTGAGAACATTTTATGCGGTTACAGAAGTGAAAATCATATATATTATATATATATGCGCTGTCCTCTAAAAATGCGTGCTCTAATTGACAGCTTATGTATAGACCTTACTATATAGACCTTACTGGTTTAGTAAATCATACAAGATATAGTGAAATATAGTGGTGGTCAAAAACAGTTAGATACTTGGTAGTTAGTTATACTTTTGGGTGTCTACCTATTAATTTTTAGCTTTCATTCAAGTTAAGCAGGGATTGACTCAGTACTTGAGGAAAACGCATTGTGGAGTGTAACTTAGTCCTATATTCATTGGTAAAGCATTTATCGGTTACGTGATGTCATTCATATTATTGTTGACTGTGACTGTTAGTCATTTCCAAATTCCCATTTACGCATTTAGAAAAAGCAACAGATTGAGTGAAGAAATATATTCCTTTTCAATTAGTTCACACTATATAATATGTATTAAGTTTTTAAAAACGAGTTTTTCCCCTCCCCTTGTAAATATCTTTTGACTTTGTTAATTTTTACAATTCTAGGTAATTCTATTAACTTGTTTGTTGTATCTTACGTAACTTTCCTGAGTCATCCTATTCTTCTTAGCCATCATTGCTATTTTACAGATTTCTTGATTGTTGCCAACGTCTAAGAATCAGCTTATCTTGAATTCCGTAGTTAATTTTCACCCCTCTTTTAAAACTTAGATATCTTGTTACTAATATCTATTAGTTATTAGTTTTCACGGCCTTTAACCTCTTGATTTCACCCCTGCCCATACCTAAAACTGATTAACTAAAATAACCACTTGATTGGTAAAAAACATTTGATGTAAAAAACTATATGTTAGTGTAGAGCCGATGATGAGGAACTAATTGAAAAGGAATATATTTCTTCGCTCAGTCTGTTGTTAGTCATTTGGTTGGCATGTGATTCCAATGAATGACAAAAAGGTGATGGATATGAAGGTGGGTAGACGATTAGAAAAGCTTTGTATAGTTATGGAAGTGTGTAGGTGGTCATTAATTCTCCGGTGCCCACACCGTAGAAGTTGATTTCATCCTGGAGGATTAGTGTTGCGTGATTGTAGCGCCTAAGCAAAGCACCTCAATGTTGTTACATGGCTGTTCACCAGGAGTATGACGTCGCCGTCAGACCCTCCAGCTTAGTGTGATGATAGTAGCTGATTTTAGTCTAATCACTATGCAAACAACCTTTCTGGCATGATAGGACCTACAGGAAGATTAGTTCCATCTAGTATTGCTCATTAAGTTATTTTATTATGTAAGCCCGAATATCAAGTCAATGCATTTAGGTGTGATTCCAGTCACTTTTAATGTATCCATAAAAATGATATATATAAACTCAGCAAATTTGACCATTAGTTTCTTGTTTTGGCGTTCATTTAACCAGGTCTTGAGATGGTAAACACTCAAGTATGAGGAGATAGTAGTTGTCAAAGTAGCTGACATCTCCGGATATGGCCCTACTGTTTTTTTTGTGTAGTAGAGAAGCTACCACTTACATAGTCCAGCATTAAAAGTAGAGCTGGGCAGTTTTCAGCGTGTTTATAAGGCGAATAACGACAAAATGCTTGTAATCCACAGCTTTTTAACAGGTTTTTGTGTAGTCTGTAGGTAACTTGTTGTTGTAAGACTGAAGACGACAGTCTTCTCCATCAGCGGGTGGATGTGCTAAGGAGGCGAAAAAAATCATGAGAAACCGTAAATCACAGTGGCTCCCACCATGTCGGATGTGAAGCGTATGTACACTAATGACATTCGTTAGCGGTGATACGATATTTTGAATTGATAGGAGTTAAGATTCACGGGTTCCTAGGCTCTATTCCAATGCCAGAATGATAACTATTCTTGGCGCGTAACCTAAATCTCTAGGGTTCAGTTACCGACTGACTGATTGGTTTCAACATAGAACTTTGCACCGATGTGCAGCAGTTCGAGTCGCCGCACTTCACTCAGCGCACAAAGCAAAAGAAGAAAGTAGAAAGAAACGCAAAATATAACCACTAAACAGAGATATGAGGCAAAAAGCCTACAACTTTAGATACAGTATTAGTCAAGCTAATACCCCTATGATTGTCACAGGAAGACTTGTCTCCCCTCTTGTATATCGGGATAATCAATGACTTACATCAACCCGACGGGACCTCCTCTGATTCCCAGACGCAGCCTAGTACGTTAATTAACTCAGGCAGTAAACTGTCTCCATCACACTTAAATACCTCTGGAGTCATTCCATCAGGTCCTGCTGCTTTGCCTCGTTTCAGATTAGTGACAGCCTTAGTAATCTCTGTTGGGGAGGGAGGACCTGTGTCTATATCCCATTCAGGGAGGTGTTGGATGTTCGGTAAGTTGAGTGTGGCTGTAGGCCAGTTAAACTGTTCCTCAAAGTATTCTTTCCAGTGTTCTAGTCGTCTATCCTGAGAGCTAATTATGGTGCCATTTTTCTCAGAGATTGTTTCCCTTATCATCTGCCTTTTACCACCTGTTTCCCTGATAAGTCATTGCTAGGGTTATGGGTACACACTGTTGGAAAACTCGTACTTGATTTAGTTGTGTTCTCTGAGCTCTTTCGTTGTCCTTCTAGACAACAACTTCACGCTAAAATGAAACAACTGCACATCCCTTCGTAGTTTTCTACACTGAAATTTTTCTGTTTGTCACTAAGTCAGATTCTGTTCTATCACAATCAGAAGTCCAACTCTTTTATTTCTTGTAGACACTGTTAGGGAAGTGAGGAATATATATATATATATATATATATATCAGCTCTTAAGAACACTTTATTGATAATTCAGTTGCATTGACTCATCGCTCTTATGCCGAAATTTTTCAACCACATGTTCTACTTTGATCATACTGAATTATTGAACAAGCACGAAATGTGTTAATAGTAACACACGTGTATATGACAATATTTTGTTCAACATAGAATTCATTACTGCTATCCAATAGTAAACATTTCATTATTATCATAAATGATTTCATAAAAATAATAATGAATTCAAAATGCTTAAACTACTATTATTTTGATCTGATTTAAACGTTGTTAATTTGTTATCAGAGGACACTTGGCTAGTCACATGTATTGACCTTTCTAACCTTAATATATTCATTGAGTCATTTTCTAGGTAGATAAGTTTTGGTTGTGTGTGTACGTGTGTGTATGTGAATTGGGTCAATACTTCAATGTTTTCTGGTGTATGATGTTTAGAATGTTATGAATTTTGTTCTTGTTGTTGAGAATTCTCACAACCTTTTATTTGTACAATGTATTTTTAGTTTTACAATATTTGATGATAATGTATAAGGAAAGTGTTGTCTTACTGTCATAAATTCTCTCGATTTATCTGTTTGATTGCATGGAGGGTTTCATCATAAGCTGACATCAGTTAGAGAACCACTGGAAAACCTGGGAGTACTGGACAGATCCCTACAAAACCAATACTTGAAAATTAATCTGATGCTCACTAGTGACTGGCCCTATTCAGGCAGTTAACCTGGGGTTCTAGTGGGAAGCCGTGACCAGTAGGGTACAGCAGGTTGAAGATGAGGCAGTAACTCATCGAAGAAGACATTACGAAATGGTCGCGCTATGTCGTGAATTGGCAGAAGTTAGAATTCATGGGCTGGCCATTGGATTGGGTCCCAGTGGCTCAATGGTCTACGAGGTCGCCTTGTAACCAGAAGGTCCTGAGTTCGAACCCCGCAGTGTGGGTGCGTACTGATGAAGAGTCCAAAACTAGGACAAAACAGCTGTCCAGTACTCCCAGGTTTTCCAGTGGTTCTCTGACTGATGTCAGCTCATGATGAAACCCTCCATGCAATCAAACAAATCCCTACAAAACCAATACTTGAAAATTATCTGTTGTCTCGGTGTTGGCGGACTTTGCACATGTTCTATTTCTTTGAAAGTTTCCTGATTCATTTAGTCTCGAATCCCATCCTAGTTACTTGAGATTCACACGGAAATTTACTAGAATTATCACTTATTCATTGAGTATAATTAGAATTAATTAAAAGAGCATTCAATGCCTCTGAAGAAAGCTGTCTTTTCAAAACCACCCCTGTTTTTGACTATGAGAAGTAAAATGACCAACTATCTAATTTAGCCTCTTCTATGTGTATCTATCAGTTTGACTGCTCCTGTGGAGCCAGTTACATAGGCCGTACAATTAGGCGTGTTTATCGTCGGATTTCCGAACATCATCCTGCTTAGTGGTTAAGTAAAGGACAAACAAAATCCATTCATAGCTCTATTCTATCTCATCTTGTGGATACAGAACACAACATTGATGTTAACGAAGCTTTCAAAGTCATCTACTGCATACCAACTAATCTTAACTTTATCTTAAGAGTTCGTCTGTTACATATTTCCAAGGCTATCAGAATTCACATTCAGAAGCGTAACTTAACGTATCGAAAAGAAGTTGGTTCAGAAGTCTCTTCTCATCTTGGACAGCTATGTTTTAAATATCCTTGATTCGCTGCATACATTTTATTTGGTATTCTATTTAATACTATATTTTTATGCTTATTATAACTTACTCATCTTTCTTGAACTGTAATTCCACTGATCTTAACAGTTCGATATTATTTTAAAAAGACGTCAGTATTGTTAATGACGAAGAAGAGTTTATCTTAGAGAATATTCCTTGCTCAAACTTTATTTTTTCTTCTAAAAATTTTTACACAGATTTGTATGCATTTATTGATATACGTTATTTTTTACCTCAATCATTCATAATTTCACTTTGCGCCAGATAAATCTCTTTAGGGCATACATTCCATGTTAGGTTGATTATTAGCACTAAGTACTGGGTATAAATTTAAGAAGTAAGTTCATTTTGTATGGATCCTTCAGATAGAGAAATTAAAAAAGGTAAATAACTTCGGTATTAACGATTTATAACAAAAAGTAGTCGTGGTAGTCAGTGGTTCAATAGCAGAATACTGACTAACCATGCATGTGGTCTAAGGTTCGATTCCTGGCCGATGCACTTCTAAACCTTACCCAGTTTACTAGCCCATAGTAAGCTCAGAAAAAAAAGAGAAGTTGATCGTGAGGCTAGCGATTCCACACCGTTTAAATAACACCACCGCTACGAACGGAAGCTTGAAGCCCTCTATGTTACACCTGGAACGCAAAGAATGAAAAGGAAGTAGTAAATAAACATTTATCAACTTTATTGTGTATTATATGAAATGAGACAAACTCGTTAAATCACTGTCAACATAAAATGATGATATCTCAAGTTGGAAAAATAACAGTGGATGGAACGTTGAGTTAGTAACACGAAAGGTGTCGTTTTGAATTTTATCGCATCCCGTGTTTCCTTTCAATTTCAGTCATCCTTCTTTCACTAAGCTGTCGTTTCGTCGTACTTAACAGCTGTGAGACATAGACATTAAAAGTGGGAGATATGAAGAGATTAGCGGTTTCCAACTATAGATGTCTCGATTCGTTCTCTCATTTGAGCTTAAGTCAAATAGTTACCAATAATAAGGTTAAGAGTGGAGTGGTTAGGCCAAGTAGTGTAAAACACGATTAAGTTTGTGAAGGTATATCAATTAAGGCGGTTAGGACATGTGTTACTCATGCTGAACCACCATCTTCTATGAAACAGGATGAAGTTGGAAGACAATTAGGGGACGAGGTGGTCAGATTGAAACGTGGGGCGGATCGATGAAGTCCTTGGCTGTTGGTTTGAGCTATATAGGTGGGTGTTTGTTTGCTTGGCTTTGATTCTCAAGATCTTAATCAGTGTTTGTAAACTACTAGTGGTATGGCTTTTGATTGTTGAAGCAACCATGTTAAATAAAATATTAAAATATCAGGAAAACCTATCCAAAAATGGTGTCATCTTAAAGCCAGAATAGGCTTTACATAGCAAGTAGAGAATAGTTTTTAAAAATGCAGGCTTCACGAAGTAAATTTTACGAAATATTCGTCAAAGTTTGGAAGTTAAATGTTCTAGGTTTGTCGTCTCGTATCTAAAACTTGCTAGTTTAATAAGTTCTTATATATCTAGTGGTGTCTTTTCTCATGGAGATACAGACTGAGTGGCTGTTACTTTATACGATAGGCAGATTAACCACAAGACTACTGAGGTACGCTGGACGTCAGCAATACTTATTGTATTGAAATGATTTCTGTGTTCTAGTGGAAACAGCAATAAAACTACTCTATCTGTACAAATTTCTAGTTTATAGAATATTCATTTCCAATAGAAATTTGAACACTTAGTTTGGAAGATTATTTCAAGTTTGATCAGTTGAAGAACCATTAAAAACCAGAGACTACGTGTACAGTTACTTCGTCTTTGTTTGAAACTTTTCAACATTATGCACCCATGATATCTTCCTCCATGGATCGAACCTAGGCCCTTCAGGTTACAAGGCCAGCTCGTTCGCAATGTGGGTGTAGTTAAAGGGGCCTACTGATGAAGAGTCTTAAACTAGGACGAAACAGCTGTCCAGTACTCCAGTACTGGTTTTCAATGGTTCTTTAACTGAATTCAGTTCGTGACCAACCTCAAAATTAATTAGATCCCCGCAAACCAATACTTGAAAGGCTATTATTTAATGTACAATATCGAGAGTTAATGTTTAATTCTTTTTAATATTTCTCGCATTTAAACTACAGTCGATTATTTATCAACTCTTTCCCCCTTTTTTTGAAAATTTCCCAATAGCTATGATTTAAGACCTTCGTGCAAAGAAAGTATTCACCTGGAACGAGAAATATGTCAACCATTAGCTGGAAGTGGTACCTTATTTGTTTATCATACCAACCGATTTTGGAGTCAAATTAAATTTGCTGGGTAATATTGAAATAATAATTTTTTTAATGTATTGATTGAATTCGATTTATTTGCTTATTTGGTGCAATCTTCTTTGTTTTTCTGTATTTTGTTTTAATGTACCGCAAACCGTGATCCCTACTTAATATCTAAAAGCTCATGATACTATTTATTTAAGCAAACGGAGGGGGGGGGGAGTGTAACAAATTTGATTCTGTGAACCACATTGGTTGACAGTTGATTACATAAATCAGTGAGTGTCAAGGAACTTAACCCTAAGTTCCTATTATTTGCGAAGACGCTCCGAATCGATAATTACTAATAATTACAATTATCGACCTTAACTCCAAAACACCAGGACTTGCAGTAAGAAATTGTATTGTTCGGCAATTAAAATCGTCTTCTTCCAACTTGTACACGATTGAATCATTCGCGCCTTCGAGTTGCCCGCCAATGGCGACCAAGGCCAACGAACCAACGTTCAATGTTCACGTTCATTTACAGTGAGCTACACATTATTAATTATTATTATTTCACATACAATAGACAGAAGGTACAAATCTTCCTTCCTTCCTTCAATCTTGACAAACGATTAGTACTATAAATCATCGCACATTAGATTTGTTGAATAGTCTACAGAGAGTGATATACCTGAAGTCAATTTGAATTTAAATTAAACTGATCAGGTTTGATATATTTATCGTTCTTCATATTTTGATTCTTTATTAAGTGTAATAGTTATGATTGTTATTCGGGCAGTATGATGTAAATTAGTCTCCATAACAGCCATGGTTATCTTTTCCACATTGTATTCATTCATCTTAAAGGATATAACTATCGATTTTTGAAGTATTATTATTATTCACCTTGTTCTCTGCAGTCCTTTTTAAGCTGGCTTCATGACTGTCCATAAGCTTTCATTTCCTCTTCACACTATCTCTTCTGTGTGTCACCCTTGGACACCCTCGGCCAAACTCCATTGTTCCTCATTCTGGTTCCCCTCGATGGAATATAGTGTCAAGCACGTGATTCCACTGAAATATTCTAATTGACTGTGCCGTCATCATTGATGTGGCCTTTCGTTTGGAATCTTATAATTTAACTTCTCCCTGAATTCAGCTATGATTTTAAAATCTACCGTCGTCCAAATGTCATAAACACGTATTTCTTATCACTAAAATTAATTGAAAATCATTCATAACAAATAGTAGAATATATAACTGATATCTAAATTGTGCTATACTCTTAAAGAAAATTTCACTTGCCCCAGACAAACATGGCTCATCGAAAACAAAAATAACCTATTCACGCTGGTTTAGCTGTAGACAGTGACCTTTGAAGCGCATTATTTAAAAAAAAAGAAAGTTTCTGACAGTTATAATTCTCCCTCGAAAATCAGAATAACAGCAAGAAAAAGCCATCAATCGATTTTCATAACAATGTTAACAATGATAAGTGATCACAGATTGACATTAGTTAAGTAACTATTGGAAACCAGGGTGTACTGGATAGCTGTTTCATTCTAGTTTGGAGCTCTTCAGTTGTACGCATCCATAACTTCACGGGGGATTGAATCTAAGAGGTGAGGACTACTGTAAGATTATTACTTTTCCGAGTGTCGGATTTTGTTTAGTTGTCGCCTCGTGACCCAAAGATGCTTTGTTCGATTCCCAAGGGGTGGGGGATTCATGGATGGGTATTTCTGAAGAGTTCCAAGCCAGAACAGAACAGCTCTCTGGTACCATCTGGTTTTCACTGGTTGTCTAACTGATATCAGTCTACGATATAACTGGGAACCAATCAAATCCTTGCTAATCAGCACTTGAAAGTGATGAGTGACTTTATTGTTAAATACAAATAGTGATGTTCAGAACGGGTAGAGGTGACAAATAAGGACTGCTTAATACCTGACTCACCAGCAGCAACAGCATCAAAAATTAAAACAAAATAGTTCTGAGTATTACACTACTTAAAGGAAAGTTTATTGAATTTAAGAAAAATAAAAATTAAAGAAAGCAACAAAAACTAGCTAACAAAACTGGCTAACAAGTGAAATGGGTAGACGGGTGTTAAACAAGCACATACAATCACAGTTAAATTATCCAGATATCAAATACTTAGATTGAAACAATTAATTGTTAGTGGGATGACAAAGGCAGATTATTATTATTATTATTATTGTATCCTTTAATTCCTACAGGAACATAGGGCTTCAGCCATGCGTCTCCATTGCGTTCTGTTCTCTGCTAGGGACGACAAAGGTAGATTAACACAGTTCATTAATGCTAACTGTGGGGGGGGGGCGATGTAGTGGCCTAGTGGATAAGGCTTTACGTTGGCGGTTCAATGATAGAAGAATCACCGGCCACATACATGTGGTCTGAGTTCGATCCCCCACTGACTGACTGGCAGACTTCTAAGCCTTGCCTAGTTTACTAACCGGTAGTAAGACCGGAAAAAAAGAGGGGAGGTTGGGCGTGAGGCTAGCAATCCCGCTGCATAAAAACAGCAGACACCACCGCTACTGAAACTTCAAGAGTTGGAGTCCTATGATCCAATGGAAATACATGGAATGAAAGAAGAAGTGATGCGGATAATTTCCTCAGATTTTAATGACATTAGGTAGATGTATTCTGCATACAAGAGTCGGTGTTTCTGCAGTAGAACACTCACCAACCACCAACGTCTGGGGTTCAGTCCCCGACTGACGAACTCCTAAATCATGCTAAGCCAGTAGGTAAGGCCGGTGTAGATGAAAGGTTGAGCTTGAGGCTAGCAACCTCACCCTGTAAAAACAAGACCATTGCCACCGAAAATTCAAAGGCCTAGCTTGAAACCTTATTTTCCACTCGAAACGTATATTATTATTATTATTCTCCTGGGTTCCGAGTGGAACATAGAGCTTCAAAAACACATCTCCACTTTATTCTATCTTCTGCTGTTCTCTTCAGCTGGGTTCACGACTGCCCACAGGCTCTCATATCCTCTAAATCACACGATCTCCTCCATGTTACCCTCCCACTGACGACCCACTCGTCGCTTCCCATTCACCTTCCACTCGAGTGATGGTCTGTATTGCGCGCGATTTCATTCAACGGCCTTCTTAACGTATGCCCGATCCATCTACATTTTCTCCTACATATTTGTTGAGCAATCGGCTCTCACCTGTTGGTTAGTTCCCAGGCAGAGTTTCTTGTTGCTAATTCTTCCTGTCCAGCCTGCCATTTGATCTTCAGTATGGAGCCAGCTATGGTGATAGCTGTTGATGAAAGTTTGTCACTTGTTGGAAATCCTTTTCGTGACATGCTGGCCATATTGAAGAACTGACAGACTTGACGTTTGTGTTGAAAATCTGAATCTTGTTCTTTATGCCGAGGCGGAGTGCAGAATATTTCCAAACTGGTTTCCGGTTGATGAAGGCTTATCTTACCTTTCCGAAACGTAAGGGAATCAATTAAGGCAAAGATAGCTACGTGTTATTGTTGATGTCTGGTTTTTTTAATATCGTGAATATACATGAACTTAAATTACATTACAGCCTCCACTTGTCTGCCTTTCTGAAAATTACTTTGAGTGTTTTTGCCGAATTGAATTATTTTTTATTCAACTTCTCAACACTTGTATTATTATTATTATTATTGTTTCCTTTAATTCCTAGAGGAACATAGGGCTTCAGTCGTGCGTCTTCATTGCGTTCGGTTCTCTGCTAGAGTCTTCACCTGGCTCCAAGTCTGCCCACACGCTTTCATCTCCTCTTCACATGACCTCCTCCAAGCCATCCTCGCACTGACGAACAACTCGCCGCCTCCCTTTCGGGTTCCACTCGAGCAATGGCTTGTCTAGTGATGTCACTTGATAGTATTCTCAGAATATGGCCAATCCATCTCCATTTCTTCCTGCCTATTTGTTTCACAATCGGTTCCTGATGGGTTGGTTCGCTCCCAGAGATCTCTCTCTGTTGGTGATCTTTTCTGGCTGGCCATCTGATCTTGAGTATTGAGGGAAGACAACTGTTAATGAAGGTCTGTAGTTTGTTTGAGATGCTTTTTATGACGCATCAAGTCTCTGATCCGTATAGTAAGTAGCACTGACTTCACATTGGAGTTGAAAATCCGGATCTTATTTTTGATGCTGAGTGCTGTTGACCTCCACACAGACTTGAGAGTAGGGAAAGCTTGTCTTGCTTTTCCGATTCTTGCTTTGATATCCTCGTCAGTTCCGCCTGTAGTTGAGACGATGCTTCCCAGGTAGGTAAAAGAGGTTCCTCCCATTTATGCTGATTGTTGTCTGTTGTTGTTGCTGTTGGTGTTGTTGGCCAGGGATTTTCATCACCTCTGTTTTATCTATGTTCACCTGAAGTCCTATCTTCTCTGGATGCTTCTTCTGCCAACTTGTTGCTTTTCGCTTGCATATCTTCCAGTTTGTGGGAAATCAAACATATATCATCGGCGAAGTCCAGATCCTCCAAGTTTTTTGTGTGAGTCCATTTTATGCCTGTTGCCTTGTATTGTAACCCTCATAATAGTTACTATTATTATTATTTTCTAAAAATCAAATTTTAGTGCTGTTATCTATGCCAATCGTCATATATTATCACTTTATGAAAGAACACATCCACATAGACTTGCTAAAATGACACTGTCAAGTTCAGCTAATCTACAAATGTTGGATAATAATAATAATAATTCTGATAGTTCATCTTTACTTGTTATGAATGGTGGAGATTGTCGACCGACAACATGTGGACCAATTATAATTGGTCATGTATTCATACATCCAACGGCTACAATTGATAGAACAGCTGTTGTAAGTAATAATGTGTATATGTATGCTAAAAATATAAAATTTTGTTTTCTAAATGTCATGCATTAAATTCCTTGTCTATATATGTCTATTTTTTATATGCAAATATATTGTGACTTTTAATAAAATACAGCCATATTATAACAGATAGATTGGAATGAGACTTGACATCAATGTACATCAGTTCAGGTTATCACTCTCCAAAACGACATAAAATTGAACAGAAAGTATTATAATACTACGGTTTTGCATGAAAAATAAATAATTAAATGCTAACTGGTGAGAATGATAAAGAACAGATACAATCTAGATCTGAATATAAGAACAACAAAGTTCAGCGAAGAGACTCTTTTCGGTGAATTCATTCACTAGGGGAGGTTGAAGATTGGTAAGTATTGACTTGGGTTGCGTAATACGAAAGACATGCTTTAAATATAGTGTGTTAATGAAAGAGCATGGAGACACGTACCTGAAATATATTATATAATAGGTAGAAAGTAAATAAAGGATTAGTTAAGAAGATGATTTTACTACAAAGTCACACAAAGTAGTAGAACTTGGCATTATACCCAAGGTAGAAGGAAGGAGAGGGTAGAGAAGTTTCTTCTGTGTACATAAATCAGGGCTTTCTATCCGGATTGATAATGCCTCGTCAATGCAAAGCATACGGAGCTTACCGTTTTCGGCAGGCTTCTTTTCACTTTATAGATGATTTTGAATGCATTCTTCTTGCATATTGAGTGACCAGTGTTGACTATATGTTCAATTATAGCACTCCTTATTGATCCACTGTTATCTGTCCGTAGTTCTTTGACTCTCTCAGATAAAGCACGCGTCGAACAACCTATATATTTCGCTCCACATGAAGGATTAAATTAGCAGATACACGTAGAAGTGGTCAAATGCAATAGTTTATCTTTGGAGTTGTTGAAGAACAATGGGCGGCTTGAGATCTAGATAATCATTGAACTATTTTAAGCCGTCATCATCAGCGGTCCGTAGCCATGGATTTCTAATACCTCAGGGTTTGCTACACCTCTTTGTTTATAGGTTTTTTCAATTGACGTCACATTTGGCCTAATCACTTCTAACTTCTTTTCAAAATAATTCTACTTCAGTAAACATTACACATTGATTAAGGGGAGAGGTTCAGCATTAGCAATACATGACCCAGCCACCCTGGGTAGATTGAGATTTAAAACGTCATCAATTGGCTTACCTTTATTGCTTAACACTAAATTTGATGCCAGCACTACTCACTCTGTGATTCTATCATACAAAAGACACTATAAATGAAAAACGTCTAATCTTTTTATATATCCTCTTAGTAAGTGTTTTTCCCCATCCTTAAAGTTGCTGTTGTGTAGTACATGGATCGTCCAATAGATTATTAGGGATGAAGCAAATTCATGGATATCAAAATGCGTATTTTACATGCCTCTTGAGATTTTTTTATTTGGTTTAGTAAAAGTTTCCCTTGGAAAGTGAAGCTACCAACTTATTCGATCACTTCACTCCTTGTACTTAGACGAGGAGCTGTTGCAAACCAGTTTTGTGGTATTCATCATATTATATTTGACAACTATTACAAAATGCAAGTCAGATATACTTATATGTTTGTCCAGATAGTAGTGTTCGCGACTTTTCTTTTCACTGTAAGGTCACAAATGATGGAGACATTGTGTGCATTAGCTAAATGCTAAACAACTTAGAACGGAATATGATATGAGTGAAATAAACGGTCATACAACAAATAATTAAATAGATTAGATAATGCCTTACATTCAAAGAGGAATTAAAAAAATAAGCGTATCCCTACTTAATGAGGCCATTCAATATCTCTACTTGCTAATTTATCTGTCTCATGAATTTCTAATTTTAAATTCCTACATCTACCAATTGATACTAAATTCAATGCGTGGGTCTGTGTAGTCTCCTCATTCAACTTTTAGTTATATTCCTATAGGTGTATTATATCTAGATAGATGATTAGATGTGTATCTTTATGTAAAGAAGGTGTATCGACTGATGAGCACTCAGCAATTCCGCTGTGTTATACAACATGGTTAATTTATACAGTATTTTCAATAAGTTATATTTATGCCAAAAAAAGTGATTCTGTTCTATTTCTCTTCATATCATCACCATTGTGTTTTGTTTTGCTTGTTTGTTTCTTTCTAGATAGGGCCTAATGTCAGTATAGGTGAACGAGCTGTTATAAAAGCTGGTGTACGCTTAAGAGAATGTATTGTACTCAGGGATGCAGAGATTCGTGCACATGCATGTTGTTTAAATGCAGTAATTGGATGGAATACTGTAATCGGTGAATGGGCACGTGTTGAAGGTACACCGAATGATCCAAATCCTAATAAACAATTTACTAAACTTGATGTACTACCTGTTTTTAATAGTAAAGGTCAATTAAATCCATCCATTACTGTTATTGGTAAGTTTATATTGATTTATATTGATTATATATTGATTCTCTCTTTTTTTATTCCTTCACGTTCCAACTAGGACATAGGGCTTCAGTCTAGAGGCTTGAAGTTTCTGTAGCAGTGTATATTTTTACAGGATGGGGTTGCTAGCCTCATGCCCAACCTTTCCTCTTTACCAGCTTTATTTCTGGCTTAGTGAGGTAAAGGAGTGCGTCAGCCGGGGATCGAACCCCGGACCATATGCATGGTCAGCGAGCGTCTTAACCACTATACCACCGACGCACTCTCTTTGTATTCCTTCTCTCTCTCTCTCTCTCTCTCTCTCTATATATATATATATATATATATATATATGTATATATATACATATATATATATACATCAGTAGTCGAATAATGTGTACAAAATGGCTGGAAGGTTAGCTTACATAGTCTGTTGAAATGAAATAAAAATATTATTTTTTGGTAGAACTTGAACTGAATAACCTTTGGATTACTCTGCAATGTTGTTCTACTGACTGGGCTACGAATCAAACTACTTTCATTCCTTCACGTTCTGAGTGGAACATAGGGCTTCAAGCTACGGCTTTGAAGTTTATCTAGAAGTGGTTTTATATTTGTAGAGAGACGTAGCTAACCTCATGCCTAATTTTCTCTCTTTACCGGCCTTACTACCGGCTTAACAAGAATTAGGAGTTCGTCTGCTGGGAATTGGACCCTGGACTACATACGTAGTTGGTAAGCATTCTACCTCTGGATCACCGACGCAATTCCACTTCAACTACTAGTGACCTGTTAGAATATAAAATACAGGTCGTATATTATTATGATATTAAAAGCAAACTTGGTACATTATAGGCACCAAGAGAAACGCCACACAGGCTTATAGTTTGTGCGAGGGCTAAGATTACTACCTGGGCACACGGACCGAAGCAGGTGGTTGTTCGAATGGACCACCTCCCTTGCCTTCGAATTGGAGCCTGATCTATAAGGCGCCAGGAGCTACTTTCACATGGTTTCCGGTGTCCAAAACGGATTCATGCGCCATTTGACCTGTTTGGGTTCTCGAGCCCATGTACACCGCAGGCTTGGAATTAGGGTTTACCCGCTTGCCTAGGTAGATCAGCATGTCTACCAGTCCGATCGTAAGCTGCAAGCATCCACATTCTCACTTTCACCTTCATGAGGAACACCACAACTGTATGAAGGCGGTGAACAACACTTACTCAGCGGAGGATATAAACGCGTGGTCGCATAAGAGCTTCTTGAGTGGAAAACCGAAATCTATCTATTCTCAGTCGTACTAGGTGGTATAATTTCAAAAGGGAAAGTGATAACCAGACTTTTTTTCACTACTTGCTTTCTGAGTGGGATATAGGGCTCTGAGCTTTTGAAATTTGGATGGTATTGTTGCTGTTTCTACGGCGTAGGAGTGTTAACCTCACACCTAATTTTCCCTCTTTGCCTGCCTTATTTACTTACTGCGAGTTAGTAAAGTAGACCAAGGTTGAAGAGTTTATTGGGTGGGGAATCGAACCCACACTTCCCACGTGGCTAATAAGCATTCTACCGTTGAACCACTGACATATCAAATGAAATGGCTCTTTTATATCTGCTTGTGGATTGTTAGAACTCCGTTAATTTAAAAGTAGGCGTTTCCATTCACTCTTCTAGTTTTACCAGTCATATATGATGCATATTAGACATTTCTCTACTGAAATCGTATACTATGGTGCTTTGAAACCAATATCTTGTAAAACTAGTTGTCGAATAGTATTGAGATGATGTGTTCAAGTGGGTAATTGGTCTATAATATATACCTGTGAACTCAACAATCCACAGCATTAGAATAGTTAAAATTTGCAATACTTAAGTTTTTACTTTCATTCATTCGCGTTCCTAGCGGAACACAGAGCTTCGCGCTTTGGGCTTTGGAGTCTCAGTAGCGCTTGTGGCAATTTTAAGGGGTAGAGTTGTTACCCCAGACATCCAACTTTCCCTCTTTCCTGGATTTACTACTGCCGCTTAATCGAGGTTTAGAGGTGCGTCTACCGGAAATCGAATCCGGACCACGTGTATAAATGATAAGCATGCTACCTTTGAACTATCAACGCACAGAAATGCTCCACATATATATATATACAGAAGATAAAATTTGTCATGAATAGGTGTCTTACCAAAGCGTTAATCAATAATACATATAATTATCATTCGATGACTAGTCAGTTATGACCATATTGACACACTAATTTGACATAGATAATGTTATTTTGCAAAACATTCATTCATTTTACCATCCTTGTTTCAGAATTATTATTATTATTATTACTATAATTATATATTCCCATTGTTAAAATTAGAAACAAATCAATCATATATAGGCGGTAAATATTATTTTGCAATTAAATCTTCACCAGGTTTTATTCTAATGGTGCATAGATTTATTTATAACGGATAACGCTCAATTCGTGGATCAAAAATAATAAGTGTAGAATGTTATAAATATGTCAGTAATAAGCACGATTTGAATATTATAGTAATACTAATGATAATAGGGTGAATAATAACGAGATTACAAGCAGTTGGTCATATAAATGATAATGTAAACGATTCCAATAATTAAATTAAGTCGAGTTCAATTTGTTTTTTTCGAAAAGTTTGATGGAATGCAATTTTTCTTTAATTGCTTTGCGTTCCGAGATTTGAAGTTTCAGTAGCAGTGGTGGTTTTTTTCCACGCCTAACCTGTCCTCGTTACCGGACTTACTACCACGTAGACGACGTCTACGGATTCGTCAGCCAGGAGTCGGGCTCTGATGACATGTGTGGCTAGCGAGCATTCTGCCAATGAACCAATGATATGATAGATAAGCGTGAAAGCACTTTCTCTGTCCGCTTGATGACCCCTTATCAATCAAATAAGACAAAATAGAGTTTCTCATTGATTTTGTTCGACGCTTTTTTCCGAATTATGTAAAAAGGTATTTAATTGGTGAATGGTGACTAGCAGTGGAATCTAGGATGCGCATTTCGTCCTATTTGGGATTCGTCAACTGGATGAACCTGCATTCCGCAGTGAGTGATAGAATAATAGAATAAAATAGACTATATAATATGCGAATCGCACCTGTGCAATTGTACACAAGTTATTTGCACTATATGACTATTAACACTCACTAATCAACGTAATAATAAATAAAACTTGAGGTTTTTTCTCACGTTGGCGGTTTAATGGAAGAATACTCGCCATACACTTGTGGTCCGCGGTTTGTGATTCTTGTCTGACGAACTTCCAAACCACATCTGTTTTTCTAGCCTATAGTAAGCTTGGAAAAAGAAGAGAAGGTTTGGCGTAAGGCTGGTAACCCTGCCTCGTAGAAACAACTACACATCCACTATCACTGATCATATTCCCGATTGTGGTAGACTGGATCATGCAACAGACGTTGAGGAGCAGAAAGACAGTAATACGTTTGGTTGACAAGAAAACTCTTGAAGACTTGGGCTTTGCAGACGATTTATATCTAATGTGACACACACACACTCGAAGATTTACAAGCGAAAATCAACAAGTTAACAAAAGAGGCAGACAGCACTCCAAGTGGATACAGAGAAGACAAGTAATAATCACCATCAGTGTAAGAAAAGTTTTGAAGGAGATCGCTTCTTTCACTTATCTAGGCAACATTGTTTCAAATACTGGTGGCACAGATAAAGGTATCAAATGCAGGATAAACAAGCAGACCTTCGTTAATAGGAAGTTACTATGGAAACCTATTGCACTCATTATTACTAGTGGGATCCGGATATTCAACAATAACGTCAAGTCAGTGTTGCCATTATACGCTTCAGAAATTTGACCAGATCTTCACCAACAGCATTTCTAACGGCCTGCTGCCGACTTTAATTAGCAGCTGCCTTCACTGCATACTCAAGGTCAGATGACCGGCTAGTAAAGGTATGTTACAAGGAACTCTGACAGTATACAAACCAGTCGAGAACCTATTTCTCAACAAATGCACAGAAGGAAATGAAGATGGATTGGACTTACACTGAGGATACTGTTAAGAGACATTACGCTGTAGATATGCCCTCGAGTGAAATCCAGATGGGAGACGACGAGTTAGGTGTGTGATTGAGGGTGACGTTGAGGAGATCGTTTAAAGAGAGGAAATGAAAACATGTGGTCAAGCGTATGGAGTCATCTAACGAAGACTGGAGAGAACAGGGTAACATGGAGATGTTCTGCTGAAGCCCTATGTTCTACGCCGCATTTAAAGAAGCAATTATATAATCTTATAGTGTTATCTCATAGTCACAGTTATCCGTAGTGAGCGAAGTAGAAGGGGACTCAGGTATATATATATATATAATCTGGACTCGATTCCCGGCCAGAGCACTTTTCAACGTCGGCTAGCTGAGGCAAGGCTTGGTCGTGAGACTGTCAACCCCACCTTGTAAAAAACACCACCACCACTACTGAATCTTGAAAGTTCAACTTAGAAGCCTTTTGTTCCACTCATAACGCAAAACAAGTATCAGTTACAGGATTTCACCATGAGCTTACATTGGTTAGAGGACCATTGAAAAACCTGCAGGGAGTACTGGACAGTTATTTCGTCCTAGTTTGGGACTAATCAGCAGTACACACCCATCACCAGGGTTCGAACCCAGGATTTTCTGGTTAGAAGGCGAGCGAGCTCGTAGACCATTCAACCACTGGGATCTGATCCAATGGCCGGTGCACGAATTCCAACTTCTGCCAATTCACGACATAGCGCAACCACTTGCCAATGTCTTTGGCGAGTGTTTGTCCTCACACCCGACTTACTGCACCCTATTGGTCACAAGTATCATTTACAGTCAGCTATAAAGTTTGTAAATGCTTGTAAATTTGATTATATATCATTATCATCATCATCTTTTATTAATATACATTGATATGTTACTGTTTTGTTTCTCCACATTATTTTCCCCATAGGCTCAAATGTAGAAGTTCCACCTGAAGTAATCGTTCTCAATTGTATTGTTCTTCCACACAAGGAATTATCACATAGCGCTAGGAATCAAATTATTTTGTAATAATATACACATACACTTACACACATACATGTATACACACTTATGTACACATTATTTAAGTGAGTACTTCTATGTACACACACACACACATACACCCACGCGCGAATATGACCAATAGACGACAACACAGTGTGTTTTGTCTATCCATCTACACACTCACACACACACATGTCTTGTGGATAAGTTTGCAATATCCTCAATTTTTCTTTTCTATTGTTATTATTTAGTCTGTTTCTCTTTGTCTAGTTTGTTTATTTCTTAAAATATGCCTTTATATACATACATATTTTATAGTTTGTTGTTTAGTAGATGAAATGCCTTCATTTTTAGTAATATACACAGTATTGAGGAAGACTGTATATTTCTGTCCTGATTTTTGTTTTGGTTGTTGTTGTGTTTTTCTAATTTCTCTGTTTGCGTTTTCTTAATTTGCTTTATTTAACGCCACAGTAGCGTTACTGAGTACGGTAGAAGTGATAATAATAAACACTACTACTAGTGATAGTAATAATATTAAGTTTTTTTCGTGATTGTTTCACCTCATGTGAAGTAATTTTGAGTAGCCCCTTAATTCTAGGATAATATTTTCTTCCGTATTCATCTGCGCCGTGATTTTCTTTTCAAATAAAACTTCTCTGTCTGTATTGTGTTTAGTGATAATAGTCGAACTACCTGCCTGCCTGCCTACCTACCTACTTCCCTAACTACCACACTTCCCCACCTACCTACCTACCTACCTACCTAACTGGCCGCATACAACATTTTGTGTATTTTATTCCTTTTGTAATATTTCCCCATACGAAAAAGAAGAGAAAACACCACAACAACTTTGGTTCTTCCTGTTCTTTTTCTTATTCTTTTTTTATAGTTTGATTTTATATATAAATAAATATATAGACTAACATATATCAGTATGGTTGTTGTTTCCCGACCAATTGAACAGTTCAGAGTTGATTAGTTTACGACGTTCTTCTTCCACTTTTGCCTCTTTTCTGTTCCTCTCTTGTATTTTGTTTTGTTATTTTTTCTCCACAGGATACAGTTAAATAACAGCAATACATTTTAGGTGGATACCAAATTGTTTTCTGTCTTCTTTTGATTCCTTTGATAAATATTATTCATTAGAATTAGTGAAGTCACGGTATCAGGATGTTGCTAGATGGCGCGGTGACTAGCGTTAGTGCTATATCGTGAATTGATGCAAGTTAGAATTCATGCGTTGTCAAAATAAGACCTAGTAGCTGAATAGTTAATGGACTGGACCTCGTAATCTAAAGGTTCATGAATTCGATTCCTGGTTGGCATTATTGCACAGTCCCCAAAGAACTAGACTGACTGGGTTTCAATGTTAGAACTTTACACAGTTGTACAACACTTCAAGTTATCACACTACATGTAGCACATAAAAGTAGGGAGAAGAAAATCCAAAAGAACTATAATGAGAAGACTCTGCATTTTGTCAGCATCTTCATCTAGAAGGATTATATCATCTGCATACTCTAATTTGAAGAGAGTGATCGATGGTAATAATAAGTTTTTCTCCAATTCCCTGAAGTCATTCAGCGTCACATGCTTAGTACATCTATGACAGTGAACAGCTCTGATGGATACCACTGGTTGTTATGAATTTTAGATGATAAGTCTCCACAAGCTCTTAGGCAGCTGTGTGTGTGAGTTCGACTAGAGTGATTTGATTAGTGTGAAATACTTTCTCGACACTCCCATGGCTCTTCTCAGTCGATAGAATCAAATGCCGCATTCGCGTCAAGAAATATGGCAAGTGTTGGGCGTCGATAAGTATGTCTATGTTTCGAAATCTGCTGGCAGGTGAAAATACAATCCATCAGCATTACCCTTTTCCTAGTCTAAAACCTAACTAGTTTCCCGGGTTTGTTTCTCCCAACAACCGCTTAATTCATGCATGATTATTGAACCTAGAACTTTGTACACTATTTTAGTCAAGTTATTTTCTCCCAGTGATTATCACAGGTAGATTAGTCTGTCTTTTTTATCAATTGGCACTGTAGGACTCGGTCGGTCGGTCGGTTTTCGACATAGAACTTTGCACATATGTGCAGCAGTTCAAGTCGCCACACTCCCTCCTTGTAGCACACAAAGCAAGAGAAGAAAGTAGAAGAACTGCATAATATAGACAGTAAACAGAGGTGTGAGACAAAGAAGTAGTAATAACGGAGAACAAAACAGTTTCATTGGAAATCATGAGTCACAAGGAGTGGATGCATCTGCGCCACTGTAGGACTAGCCAGTATAGTTTGTTGAATCATTTAGATATACAAAACTGACTACTATGACAAGACACCACCTATCAAGAGGCCTCAAACTAGACTGGACAGCTGTCCAGTGTTCTTTCGCTTTCAAGGATTCTGTAAGTGATGTCCGTTCGTAACGAAATCTGTAGTGGACTGAAATAACTTAACAATAATGTTAGCAAAAGTTCATTTTGGTGTTTTCTATATGATGAGGTGAAGAGATATACTAGTCCTAGTGAATTTTACTCTTAGGCGCTATTCCTGTAACAGATTGAATATAGCATTTTTGAATTTACGCAGAACAAGAATCTCTGGCGGTTCCCTGGGTCTGTAGCGCATTTAGACGTAGGCATCCACCTGGACAAACTATAAGATGATTGAAATTAAAGGTTTATAACAGTATGACTCATTTTTGTCCCTATATGTAGTTTAGTGACAGCTAGTAGTTAGTGATTATCAGGGAAAAATATGGCAAAGAATGATCACCATTGTCATATCAAAATCTATCCTGTTGACATACCTTTCCAAAGAACTCAGCTTTTCTACATTAACGATTGAAACTACTCAATGTGTATTAAATGGCTTCACTTTTTGTAAAATAAAAAAACACCTCATAATTTATAAAACTCACTCTTTGCATCGTCTGAGACTCAGTTTTGATCTATAGACGAATAGTGTGGTGAACAAGCATCAGTATGTATTAATTTCCTTCACTGTTACTACATTTCTAGTCAACGGTATAGCATATGAATGAATGTTATTTAGGATTTAGTTGAGCGGTGTGCTGTAAAACGTAAATCTGGTTTCTGCATCTAAGAAATGAAAGTAACTGGCTATGAAGCCGATGGAGTTTTGTTCATTGGTTTATTAAGGCTAAGTGACTAATCACACTGAGATTCCTGTGTCTACATTCCAGGTAGTCGACATACTTTCATAGGCTGAAATGCCGAAAGTTCTCAGAATTAATTATAGGGTTCCAACATGGCATTAGCAATTAGGTTTAGAGAGACTGGAGATTGAGCTTAGCTTTTACTGACTTTAGAGTAAGAAGGAGTCGAGGAAACTATTTAATGTGTAGAAACAGTAAGGGAAGAATTAGTTAAGACAAGGGAAGGTTAGTTACTACTGTTAAGTTTCTTAGTGTTGTCACATTGTGTATAGTTGCGTCTAGATGGTTGGAAGCAATCGACAGGAAGCCTTGGACCTAGGTTTCGTGCTAGCAGGCACTCTACAGTCAGCAAGGCGTATCTGCAACCTTGAAGGAACTGATGTCCCTTCTGAGATTCGAACGCGCGTCACCCAGTGCTGCAGTCAGAGACATTTACCACTGAGCTATTCGGGCTCGCGATTGACCTCCTCTATGACTGTATTCGATACTTTGATTGGACACTAGTAACTAGTGTAATGTTTGTAGTTCTAGCTGTCAAATGGATGTTCACCGTGATGGCGAGCTGCTTAGAATCGTGGCCACATTGCAAACCTGAATGATAGAATTCAGTCTGCATCAAACAAAGGAGTAGATACATCACACTAGGTACTACTATCCAATCAAACTATAGTTGCGTCTGTAATTTGAAAACTTTACCAAGAACGATATAAGTCCCTAGTATAATTCTAGATTTACAATTTTCTGTGGCTTGGTCATTTTATTCTCCTCTCCCTAGAAAAGTAAGGAAGCATCGATGGAATCACCAACAGAAACATTGTACTGCATTCAAATACACTGAATCAGCAGTATAATTTTTCCCTTAGAATCTTACCAAAAATACAACGTATTTATTAAGTGAAAATAGTTTGTTTCAAGCTTATAACTATCCAGTCAATCTTCCGGAAATTTCGGGTCCCCAAGAAATGATTAACTCAACGAGTATGGCTCCTTAAGTCTTTGTAATATGCTACATCGACCCCCCCCCCAACGTTAAAGCAGAAGAAATCAATCAATACACTAACTAATGAACAGGTACCTAAGGATAATAATAATGTCCATAAACTGTTACTTTCAAGAAATAAAATAGAAAATATGCAAAGTAAAATAAATGGTAGTGATACCTTCTTAAGAAAATAACTAGAACTAAGTGGTATTTATTAGTTAAAAAGACATGTGTTCAGATAATGATATGAACAGTTTACCTGATCGTATACATTGTATCCTGCTTATTTGCTCGTATTTTTTACGTGGTCATTCAGGATTGTAAGTGTATCTATCAGTTATTTATCACAGAAGAAACTAGATGTTTTATTGTTCCACTTTTACTTGGGATATTAAGAAAACAACCTTAAACTGAAGTACAACAGAAAAACAATAGGAAACAAAACCTAAAACACGGAAATACTTATTGCTAAGAATAAAATCAATGTTCCTCTGTTGTTCGCATCTTTTTTGTGCGTGATAAAATCTAGAGTAGTAGCGTTATGATGCAGCTGACTACATGTGGTGAATAACTGTTTCAGGCGGAAATATGTGACTTTACAACCGTGTCTTTAAAATAATGAGAATTAAAATCACCTGATTTTCCCCTGTGGTTTGATACTTATTTGTGGACATTTCGTCACCGGGCTTTGTGATATCTTCAACATTATGTTCATTAAATTTTTCAAGGCATGAAGGTCTTCTGTGGTTGGACAGCCTAGTTCACTAGTATTTTATTGTCAAGATTACGTATTATTCACCTCTTGGGTTCCAGATGGAACATTGGGTTTCAGCAGGACATGTTCATTGTATTGTGTTCCCTGTGACCTTTTTTTAGTTGGTTCCAAGACAGCCCACATGCTTTCATTTCCTTCTATTTACCTCATCTCTTCCATGTCGCTTTCCGACACACGTCCAACTCATCGTTTCCTGGCACTCGGCGTCATTTAACGGTCTCCTCAACACATACTCAATCCACCTCCATGTTCTCCTGCACATTTGTTGAGCAACAGGTTGTTGATTGCTTCGTTCCCAAAGTTCCTTGTTGCTAATTCTTTCCAGCTGGCCATTTGATCTTCACTATGGAGCGAAGTGAGCAGCTGTTGATAAAAGTCTATAGCAGGCTGTTGGAAACTCTTTTCTTGATACTCAGTGCAAGTTTCTGACCTATACAGAAGAAGTGATCTGACGTTTATGTTGAAAATCCGAATCTCGTTGTTTATGCTGGCTGAGTCCAGAAGATTTCCACACTGATTTCAGAGTGATGAAGGTCCTCTTGATACCGTCGTTATTAATTACTATTACACAGCCTCAAATTATTATTTTATTATTGTTTCCTTTAGTTCCTAGAGGAACATAGGGCTTCAGCCTCACGTCTCCATTACGTTCAGTTCTCTGTCAACGTTTTCACCTGGCTCCACGTCTCTCCACATGCTTTCATCTCCTCTTCACATGACCTCCTCCAAGTCACCCTCGCACTGACGAACAACTCGCCGCTTCCAGTTCGGGTTCCACTCGAGCAATGGCTTGTCTAGTGATGTCACTTGATGGTTTCCTCAGAGTATGGCCAATCCATCTCCATTTCTTCCTGCCTATTTGTTGCACAATCGGTTCCTGGTTGGTTCGCTCCCAGAGATCCCTGTTGCTGATCTTTTCTGGTCATCTGATCTTGAGTACTGAGCTAAGATAGGTGTTGATGAAGGTCTGTAGTTTGTTTGAGGTGCTCTTCATGACGCGCCAAGTCTCTGATCCATAAAGTAGCACTGACTTCACATTGACACAGCCTCAAATGACATACATATCTTAATTACTTCATTGTCTATTCATGCTGAAGAGAAAATATCTGTCTGTAAAACAATATATTGAAAAAGGTATGTAACAACAGAAGACA